TTTGCTTGAATAGATTTAAACATCAGCAGAAAGCTTCATCAGAATGCTTGTTGCAGGCCTTGATCCTGAAAGTGTGATCCCAGTGGTTGCCGTTTTCTTTGATCCTACAGCGTGTGAGTGCTGGTCATAGCTTCCCCCACTGGGAAGCAGTTCATTCATTCACTCCCTGCACACACAGTTGCTGGCCCTGCCGAATGCCCAGCTGGCTGGGGAGTGTGACCGGTACCCCTGAGTCTGTTCTGGTTGGGAGACAGCACCTGGTTAGGAGATAACTGGACCAGGCAGTCTCACGGCAGAAAGAACCATTTCATCGCACGCTGCTGGAACTCCATTCGGTGATTGTACTACTCAGCACTGCCTTGGCTTTGACCAAAGACTGACCTTACCTTCTGCCGATTTAGAATTTGGCCGGGACATACTGAGTACACTTCCGGAACGTACACGCACTCAGGCGGACACACACCCTGGTACGTTCAAGCACAAGTGCGTACACACACACACACACACCCCTTGCTATCCCGATGTTTCTGAGCCTCGCCAGGCTGTAGTGCGACTGTACTGACAATAATCCTTCTGCCTGGAGAGTAGTTTCAGGCCTTTCCCATCCAAAAAAGCGTATTAACTGGGTTAGAAAGGATCTCAAATACCAGCTTCCAGACTGTTTCCAGGTCCCCAGTCCTCCCCTCTGGGCCATGGGCCTTGGATCTGACTCGTTTTGCCAAAATCCCACTTTCTCTTTCAAGCCCTCTTGCAGCGTCCCCCAGCACTTCCGGTGGCGGCGTGCATGCATCCATCTCTCAGTTCACGGAAAGACGGGAGAACTGCAACTGGGGTGTGCCTGCTGTGCCTGCGACGCATTTCCCATCTGGGCTGTTTAGGCCTTAGGGTCAGCTTCCCAACGTGCATTGCCGGTGGCTTAACCAGGACGGATGGCTCTCTCTCTCGTGGTGCAGTCGGGAGGTGGACTGCTCAGGGGCAGTGAGGACTCGATGGGCCTCATAGCCTAGGCTCTTTCTAGCTCTTTCTTTTCCCACCCTGATAGACACCTGACCCAAGAAGGACGTTGGCGCTCCAATACGTGACATCTGAATTGGAGGCCAGAAGAGGGGACAACGGAAGAAGCCAAAGGCTACACTTCCTGCCTTGCCACACACCGGGGAAGTCCGAGAAAGACTGTCATTTGTGTGGCTGTGACAGAGATGCCATTGGCCCGCTCACACTAGCTCCGTAGGGACAGGACATCCCGTGTTTAGCTGGGGTCAGCGCTGGGTGGGGGATAAAGACTGTCTCCTGCAGTTCAGGTATCTGGCCGACGGAGGGGGAACAGAACGGCCTGCCCAGCTTCGGAGGGGCCATGCCCTCCTTCCTTCTCGCCCTCCTGCTGTCTGGAAGGTAGAGACGATCGCCAGGGCGCGGAGGACAGGTTGGAAGCCACACTCCGAGGACTGGAACGATGAGAGAAGCAGCCGAGGTCCTTGACAGTCACGGGCTGGCTACTCGAGACCTGGTTTGTATCCGCACAGACTATATTGTCAGAGACACAGAAACGTCTCTCTGATTATTTTGGACGTTGTTACAGCAGCTGAACAAATATTATAACAAATACACAGGTGGCTGCCTACCCTGGGCAGTGATTCTAAACTGGAAGTTTGGGGGGCTGGAATTTCAGAGAGTCAATGTCCTTTTGGGGGCTCTTAATAGAAGCTCTAGAGAGCTTTTGCTCACTTATATAACTTCCCACCCCAGCCCCCTGCCCAGAAATTCTGATACCTCCCCTTTGCCCTGTTGGAAATACCCATAGGAGTGATGTCTCGGACCAACATGTACTAGGTCTGATAACAATATGAAGGCAGGAACGTTGACACCCATCAAGCTAGAAGGCTGATGGTCACGTGGGCAGAATCGGGAGAGCGAGAGAGGAGGTAGCCTGAGTCGATGGTGTGAGACTCGGACCCGCCCAGGCAGCCCTGTGGTGACACCAGTCAGAGCAGCTGCCTTGGGAGCTTCTGCAGACAAGACCTGCTGGAAGTCTCGAGAGCACACTGGTGCACCTGGAGAGGAAACACCAGAATGAACTCAGCCTGGGGGTACGTCCAGGGTCGAAGGGCAGAGAGGAAGTCGAGCAGATGGAGCCAACGGAAGAGAAGCAGCAGCAGCAGCTGGAGAGAGGGGCAGACCAGGGCCGTGCGGGATGGCGCGGGTCCAGGGTGGGAGGGAGAATGAAGCGGAGGCGCCGAGAATTCAAAGTCAGCGTGACCAGTGGCGGCGGCGGAGCAGGCGAGTGGGCGTGGGGTTTAGGAAGCCTTCGGTGACCACAGAGGGGGCTGCTCTGGGGCACTCTCACCAGTGGGGCAGGTGGTACTTTCATTCTAAGTCAAAACAAACACGGAAACAACAAGAGGCAGCTACGGAAACAACTTCGATGGATCAGGTCATTTGCTAGTAAAACAAAGGTTATATGTAATCAGCCCCTGCATTTCCGTGGCGTTTGACACCTTCCAGACGGGACAGGTTACCTCATCTGCAAAGCCTCGTACAAAACCGAACGTGGGCCTCTCGTTCAGAAAGTATTAGGAATTTCAAGACAGTGACAGGAGGATGTTAAAACAAGGGTGGGGTCCAGGGCACCTGCGCAGGTGACACGTCCATGAAGCCGGCCTACTTCTAAGCAGTTCCCTTCTGTTCTTTAATTTCACAGAGCAGTTTCTGAGATGGTCTGACCGCTCAACTCATGCAGAGCGGGGAGCTTTTCCTGGCTGCTCTGCGCCAGAACATCCCCTCCTGTTTGGGGAATGGAGGCATGTCCCAGCATGTCCATGCAGATGGGCGCCTGGTCCCCTCCCACCACAGAAATTCTCTTCCAGCCCCGAGGAAACCAGGGAGCAAGCACGTGATGCAGACTCAGCCAATCAGATGCTCCCTACCAGGATTTCAGGTCTGGAGTGTGTGGTGCCAAGATGCAGGGTCCTTGGGGACACCTGCCTGTGTTGGTGGAGGACACGAGAGCCAGGGGCGGAGGTGAGGGTGTGGGAGGAGCCGCCGTGAGTGTCCGGGGAACCAGCGGTGGGGGCCCATCCCACCGTCCCTCGGGACCTGCTCTGGCGTTCTCCGCCACTGGGCCCTCCTTTGTCTTATCCGTTCTCTAAATGTGGGCTCTGCGGGGCCCCCAGGCCTCCCTTAGGTTCCACAGCTCACTGGGAGGACTCGCAGAGCCCAGCAAAGGTGTCACACTCGCAGTTGTGGTTTATCACAGCAAAAGCTCACAGATCATAATCTGCAACAAGAAGGGGGCGGCGGGAAGGGTCTGAGACAGCTCCAGGCAGCAGCCTCTGCTGTCCTCCCCCGGCGGGCGGGGTCACGGACAGCACTCTCGTCTCCCAGACCGTGAGTGACAACACACGCTAACACACACTGAGTGTGGCCAACCAGAGGCACTCGCCCAAGCCTTGGTGGCAGGGTTTTTATGGGAGCTCGGCCACGTAGACACAGCTGATGACCCGCTTGTCTGACTTCACTATCTCCCCATCTGGAGGGGGAGCTGGTGCTACCTGGCCCAAGGCCCCCACCCGAGACCACTTTGTTAGGGTGGACCGTCTGGCACAGCCCCAAACTGCCCCAGGTGAAAAAGCCTCTCCTGTCGGGCAGCACGTCCCAAGGACTTAAAGGTAGCTCCCAAGACCGGAGGCAAAGGCCATACCTTTCTCTGGTGAAAGCTAACCCTTTACTGCACACCAAAGCTCCTCCCCCAGCTTTCCCATCCATTTTCCCGGTACCCCACAGCCTTTCCCGGGAAGTCTTTCCGAACAGCCCTGCTGCCTGGGTGCCTGAGGAGGCATGAACAGTGGATACTGGGAGCTCCGGTTTCCAAATGAGTGTGCTGAGGCAGAGAGCTCTGGGAACTTCCCCAAGGTCGCACAGGTCATTCTGCTGCTCACATGCCCTTGCACGTGCCCCAGTGACCTTTGGCTCCACCCAGAGGCCCAGGGCAATCGTCACTCCACGGGCAGCAGCTGCCCAAGAAGAACCAGTCACTGGAAAGGTCAGAAGATTGAGGTCAGCTCAAATTCCCATACTTGCGGGTCTGAGTTCTTTTAACACCCATGCAAGTCTGCGGAAATTAACCAAGACTGGGCCGCCTAGCAGTGTTCTCAGGGGAGTACAGAGACAGAGCCTATGGATACATTTCTGTAGATCTTGACTAGTTTCCCAAGATAGCCCCCACTCTCTGTGTTGGGGAGCCAGCCAGTCTTCCTGGGAGAAATGGCCACACCACCGGGCTTCCCTGCACCCACTCAGTGGGAAATGAGCCTTCAGCACTGAGGTGACTTCCCTAAGCCACTTTCCCCCACTCCCCGCCCCCTACTCTGACCTAGAGATAACGTCCTTGGAGACGCACAGGTTTTGTTTCCCAGCCAGGGGAAAATTCACCCAGCCCTACGCCAGCCAGCGGGTCCCATCTGCTGCAGGGAGTCCGGGGAGGGAGGTGATTGCTGAGGTAACCACAGGGCCCCGAGGGTGGGCAGGCGCAGACACACAGCAGCTGCCACCGCTGGGCACGATGCCGGTGCCCCACTCTGGAGGACGTCCCAGGGCCCTCCGCCAGCTGAGGCCTCCGATCTGGGGCCTGCAGGGAGTGGCTTGGAGAATCTTCTCAGGCTCAGCAGTGCTCTTGTTAAACCCTGGAGACCCCGTGGACCTCAGAGACCATACCTTCCAGCTGGGAGGCTGAGGCCAGGAGTGGGAACTGATGCTTAGCGCAGAGCTGGGATTTATGTTCAGTGGCCCTGACACCTACTCCTCCTTTAGGGGTGACCTCTGGACGTAGCGGGCTCTCCAGGATCCCACAGAAGGGGAGCTGAACTTTGCTGCAGTGGATGATGCATTCATTCATGCATGCATGCATGCATTCATCACTCATTCATTCACTCATTTAGCAAACACTTACTGAATGTCTGCTGTGTTAGTTTTCCAGGGGTATCTAGCAAATTACTGCAAGTGTGTCGCTTAAAATAACAGAACTTTATTCTTGTGCAGTTCTGCAGGCACAAAGGCCAAATGCCAGGTGTTGACAGGGCTGTGTTCCTTCCCAAGGATCTCGACATTTCTCCCCTAGTTCTCCCAGCCTCCGTGGCTCCAGGCCTTGCTTGGCTTGTGGCTGCATCCCTCCACACTGCCTCTGTCTTCCTGTGGGCTCCTTGTCTGTGTCTTCTCCCTGCTCTTCTCTTGTAAGGGTACTTGTCATTGGTTTTAGGGCTCACCCTAATCAGGATGATCTCATTCCAAGATCCTTAGTTATATCTGCAAAGACCTTTTCCCCAGATAAGTCCAGGCACAGGTTCCGGTGCACGCGTCTCTTAGGGGCCACGGCTCAGCCCACTGCACCCACCACATGCCGGGCTCTGCTGTAAATCCTGGATGTTGCAGGAAACACAGACAGGGCCCAGCTCCCCAGAGAGGGAAACACACAAACTGTAATTTACTACGACTTCAGGTGGGGAGAACTGCTTTGCAGCGCTCTTAGGAAGGGCAGGGGGGCAGAGAGCGTCTGGGCAGGGCTGTGCTCCTCGAGATTAAGCAATCGGAGAAGCCCCCTTGGAGGACACAATTGCATGAGGAGGTCGTCGTTGCCTGTGTCACTCACACCTGCCCCGATCCCCATCCCTCCAGATTCAGGGCCCCGGGAGGCAGCGGCACAGTGCCCCGGAGAGAGGAGGGACTCGGTGCTTGCACCCAGCAGAGCATGCTTGGGAGGAGCGCAGAGTTTCCTGAAGCCTCGAGCTGCTGACGTAGCCGGAGAGGAAGCGGCCGAGCGTTGCGGGTGCCGGTGCTGGGATTCGGGCTTCCCAGACTGCCATTTACTGGGTGCTCACTAGGGACCAGCTATGGCATTGGTCTTCCAGGACACGAGGTGAGACTTGTCTTGTCCGGTGAGACGGCCTGCATCTCCCAAACCGACGGCAGTGGGTTCTCCCATGTTCTCAGAGGAGGTGGTGGGTATCCTGGCAGTAATGCTCCAATCTGCAGGAACCTGTGACCCCCGCTCCCCGTTCAGGTGATTCAGCGGAAACGGAGCAGAGAAAGCCATCCTTTCAAGCAGACCAGCAGGTGTAGAGACCGTGATGGTGTTTCTCCTCCTCTCCTGAGGGGGGAGAGAGAAAAGTAACGTCCTCAGCGTAAACAAGGGGAAGAACAGGGGGAGAGACCCTGGGAGGGGTGGCGAGGGCCAGCAGGGCAGCCGGTGTCTGACTCAGCCAGGCCTGTCTCCCGAGCTGCCACGGAACCAGGATAGAGTGTGGTGACCACCCTGAGTTGGGGCTTGAACTCATTCCTGAATGGGGGAGGCCATGGGCAAGTGGCGTCCCCTTTTCTGGAGCAGTCTGGGTGACACTGAGGGATGAGGGCAGCAAGGGGCGCGGCCCGCGTCCCCTGCGGCTGCCTGGGCCAAGGGTGTGTAGGTTTTCTTGTGGGCCGAGGGAAGCCAAGGAGATATCCCGCCCGAGAAGGCTGCTTGCCAGGCGAGGAGACCTCCAGGGTCAACCGTTGTTGGGTGGGAGACGAAGGGATGAGAAGGAGCCGAGAGAGGTCGGGTGTCAGGGGGTGGCAGGGTGGGCCTGAGCAGAGGGGGGTAGCTCTGAAGAACCACAAAAGCAGCCCATGAGGGAGAGAGTAGAAAAGGGGCTCTTATACGTAAATTCTATCTTCAAAAAAGACCTGCTGAAGCCCTCACCCCTGTCCCTGTACATGTGACCGTATGTGGGCATGGGGGTTGCTTACTGTCATTAGTTCAGACGAGGCCAGGCTGGAGTCGTGTGTGCTGCGACTGGCGTCCTGATGAGAAAAGGGCAGTGTGGACACAGACACAGAGGAAAAGGACAGGTGAAGACAGACACAGAGACAAGAGGGACATTACCTCCAGCCAAGGAACGCCTGGAGTCACCAGGCAGACGCAAGGAGGGACGCATCCTGAGAGACGTCAGAGGCAGCGACTGTGGCTCCACCCAAACCGTGATTCTGGAGTTCCGGCTCCCAGACTTGTGAAAGGAGTTTCTGTTGGTTTGAGTCACCTCGCTTGTGGTACTTGGTTATGGCGGCCCTAGGAAATCGATGTAAGGGACAGCCTTCCGCACCCACCGCACAGCAGGCGTCAGGGGCCCGGCCTTGCACCAGGAGTGGAAGGGGGGGGGCTTCCTCGCCTGCACAGCTTCTCCCCCCAAACCCCCGCCCCACCCATGCTTCCCCCTGACTCCGACTGGAGGGGGGGGCAGACACAGCGAGGCCTGCGGGGGCAGGGCCACTGCTTTCAGGGAGATGTGAGATGAAACAAAAAAGAAAAGGAAAAACAAACTTCGAGCTGAGATTGAGCTGGAGATCCTTTATGTCCCGAAAAGGACCAGAATGAGATCCCGCCACCCCACGGGCTCGCCCCCGACAGGGAAAGAACGCCCGGTTCAGCCTCTGCAGCCTCGCGTTCCTCTTCTCGGGGCTCTGAAACCCAACCTGGAGCCCGGGCCGCGGCGGGAAGTGATCCAGACGTCAAGGAATTCCAAAACACGTTTTCAGGCAGCAGCTTTGCCTGGAGGCTGGCCAAGAAAAGGTCACCTACTGGCCAGGGCAACAGTCTGTGTTTGGGGAAAAGCTGACAGAGAGAGGCCAACGGCTGAGCCAGGGGGCCAGCGGCAGCCTGCAGCAGAGAGGGCGGATGGGCGTGTGAGGGCTCAGGTGCTGGAGGCGGCGGGGCGAGCTGCAGGAAACCAAACCCTCTCACGGTTTCTAGGCCAAAAGAGAGCGAGAGCAGGAAATCAGGTGCTTACCGCCTTATGTGCAGGATGTTTCGGGGGCAGGGCTGGGGGCACACTCTAGACTGGGTTTCCAGAGGCGTTTGGAGCGGCGGGGATTTGTTTCGTCGGGGATGGTGAGACACCCCAACACGGACATGGCTGTCGTGAAAGTATGCTGTCCTCACAGAGCCCCAGAAACAGCAGGCGCAGGGTGCTAGGCAGGGCCACACAGGGCCCAGGCCATCAGGAGGCCGAGGGAAACAGCGGGAAGCGTGCACAAGAGCCTATATCACGTTTTCCACGGGAAGGAACTTCCTGCGGGGTGAGCAGGCTTGGGGTGGGCGAGTGTGAGTAATTTCTGTGGGCTGCGGGACCCAGGGGCTGTCCCTAGCTGTCTGGTGGGTGCTTGGCCAGACACCATCCAACTGGGTGGGAGGGCCTAGAGAAGAGGGTGTGGGGGGTACGGGCTCTGGATTGGCTGGTTTGCCTTGGAAAGACACAGTGTCGGGCCAACCATTTGCTCGAATTAGCCAATGGTGGGAGGGGCAGCCCCTCCAGAGTCAACAAGGCCCTGAGATGTCAAAGCATCAAACACACAAAACAAAAGACGTGATTAATAGAGGAGCGGCCTCCATATTACTGCAGAACTGACCAACTGGGTGAGAAACAGCTTCTTGCAACCTGCTGGAAGGCGAGGAAGGGGGGAGCCACGAGGAAGCTGCTGCGTGGAACAGGGTGAAGACGAGTGTGATCAGCGAGCAGAGTGAAGGGCGTTAGGTCCTCAGTTCATGGTGACTGCTGCCATTCTAACTGTGGCCTTGAACTCTGTCACGGGCTACACAGACAACGATCAGAGCACTGGGTTTGCACTTAAAAAGGGAAGTAAGCCCCGACACACGGTTATCTCCGAGCCACCAGGAGTGAGAACCACCTGGACAGCGCCCCCTGGAGCCCGGTTCCCAGCGCGCATGGGCACCCTGGCAATGTTGGAAGTACCGAGCTGAACTGCACCCGGCATGGTCGGGATAAGGGAGTAGCACTGAACCTCATCTTTCTGTGAGGGCTCGCGCCTTGCCAAGGGTCATGTTCCCTGTAAGAGGACCCGGTAAAGCTCCAATGTGGCTTCCAGCACCTTCCTGAAATACCCGAGAGATCGTCCGTCTGGTCCGTGTGAGGCGTCCTGCTGCCCACCAGGCATGGATGGGGCAGAGCGACAGGAGACCCAGCCCGGAGTGACTGAGAGGCAAACCCAGGGTCCAGCCAGGGAGAAGGGTCCTCTCCTGCATTTCCTAGGGGTGGGGAGACAAACGGGTGGAACTGCGGAGGGACCCGGGTCTCAGAGGACAGCAGGGACGACACATCACAGAGCTCCCCAGGCCGACCGTGATGCTTTACGCCCTACTTAACTCACCCAATGTCCCCAACCAACTGCATCGCTGTGCACTGTGGCTGCTCACGGTGATGCCGGCCAGCGGGGTGTTGGACTTCTCTGGTTTGTTTGAGTAACACGTCCCTCACCACTACGGAAGTGACACACACTCATCGGAAAACAGAGACGTACACTGCATAAGGACCAGTTGCTGCCCCACTCATATGGCTGCCGTAGAAACGACAGGTGACAGATGGTGTTGGTGAGAACCGGGAGAAGTCACGACCCTGCGTTTGGTGGAGCTGCTTTGCAGATGGTCTGATAGTTCCTCAAAAGCTGAAACCTATGACTCAGCATTTCCTGTCTCAGGGATCTACCCCAGAGACATGAAAGCACAAGTCCACCCATGAGCTCATGCGTGAGTGTCTGTAGCAGCGTTATTTGTAACGGCCAAAACGTGGAAGCAACCCAGCCTCCCCTGACTGATACCGAGACAGACAAGATGTGGCATCGCCATGCAACGGTTTCTCAGCAGTGGGAACAAAAACGTACTGCTGCGTGCTACTGCGGGGGTGAGCCTTGAAGACGTGCTAGGTCTCAAAAGGCCACGTGGTGCATGGTTCCACTTATGTGAAATGTCCAGAGCAGGTGAATCTATAGACAGCACGTTAGCGGTGGCCAAAGGCTGGGCTGGACAGGCTGCAGAGTGTCTGCTAACCGGTGTAGAGTTTCTATTGAGGTTATAAAAATGTCCCCAAACTGGTAGTGGCCATGGTTGCCCAACTGTAGGACTATACTGAAAACCACGGAATTGTACACTTTAAATGGGCGAATTGTATGGTATGTCAGTTATAGTCTAGTAGAGCCATTATTTAGAAAAATGTATGAAAGCTTATATCCACACAAAAGCCTACACATGGATGTTTTAGCAGCTTTATTTATAATTACCTCAACATGGAAGTGAGATGTCCTTCAGCGGGTGGGCGAATGAATAAACTGTGGTATGTCCAGACAGTGGAATACTATTCAGCACTGAAAAGAAATGTCCATGAAAAGACATGCGCAACCTTAAATGCATACTGCTAAGTGGAAGAAGCCAGTCTGAAATGGCTACATACTGTATGATTCCAACTATTTAACACGCTGGAAAAGGCCAAACTAGGGAGACAGTAAAAAGATCAGTGGGTGCAGAGGTGATGGGGGTGGGGGGTGAGTAAACAGAGCACAGAAGATTTTGGGGGGCGGCGAGGCTATTCTGTCTGCTATAAGGATAGACATGCATCATTACGTACTTGTCCAAGCCCACAGGATGCACAGCACCAAGAGTGAACCCTCGTGTATTCCATGGACTCGGGGCCTCCGGATGTGTCCGTGTCGGATCATGGATTGTAACACCGTGGGGGTGCTGATGGAGTGAGGGGAGGCTGTGGGTGTGGGGCGCAGCAGGGAGCACGCGGGAGCTCTTTGTGCTTTCTACACGGTGTTGATGTGAAACTAAACTTGTTCTTAAAAATGAGGCCTATTTTTTTAAAAAAAGTTTCATGAAGGGGAAAAAATCACTCAGAGTCTGATCACACACACGCTCGATCACTCAACAGTTTGACCCAGGTGCTTGGAATCTTTGTAAAGACTTTTTATAGAAACCGTTTCACGTTCCAGTGCTTGAGTCTGTTTTTCGCCACTTAGCAATATGCTGTCAACATTTTTCTATGTCAATAATATCCTAACAGATTTCTATGCAGATGAACACTCCACACTTCTAGGCATCGTCTTAACTCGCGTGAGTACTGTGGGGGAAGAAGAAACTTTCCTCCACCCGCTGGTGGGACCATTGAATCTGCAGGAGCCAGATTAACAAGAGAAAATAACCAACTTTCATGACACACGCACATCAGGGGCCCCACACAGGTGGGGGAGCCCGGGACCCCACAGACATGAGAGAGTCAGAGACAAAAGGGGAGACAAGATGTATGGGAGGCGCGGGTGGGGGGTGTCTGGCACAAATAATGCCCCCCCATTTTTTAAAAAGATTTTATTTATTTATTTTTAGAGAGGGAAGGGAGAGAGAGAGAGAAACATCCATGTGCGGTTGCTGGCGGTCATGGCCTGCAACCTAGGCATGTACCCTGACTGGGAATCGAACCTGCCATGCCTGGTTCTCAGCCCAAGCTCATAATGCCCCCTTTTTATTACAACATCTTTTATTACAAAATCATAAGCGTGTAATTCTGCAACATAACACTGTCCTACTCAAGCACCCCATAGGGCATTTTAGGGGAAATGTTCAAATTAAAACTATAAGTTATGACACCCATATTACCGCCCTGCCAACCACACTCAGGCAGGCCTTTCTTCCCCCGGACCCTGTGTTCGACGTCCTGAGCTAGGGATGCGGTTGGATGCTCCGGGGCTGGGGGGGCGGGGCGGGAGGGAGGGTGGCCTCAGGACAATGAGAGGAGCAGGTAGACGTTCAGGAATTGGCTGTTTGCCCTGGCCTCTAGGTGGGTAAAAGGTTACCTCTGATAACCTCTTATCAGGGGCAAGGCCCCTAATTTAAATTCTTCTAGGCAGTTAAAGGGCAGGGACCCAGAAGTTTTTCCTGGGCCTGCAGGGTCTCAGGTGGTTTGTCTTTAGCCCAAAATAATCCGAATGCCACCAAAGCACATCTTGGATGACTCGCTCTGAACCCCTACAGTAGAAAGAACACTGTGCTAAATATCACATGTTCTTAGAAGAAATTCTGGATGAAATAAAACAGTGAATATTTGTCGAGTGCTTAGTAAGGGCCAGTACCTGACTCGAGAGCTCCACAGACATTGCCTGGGTTCATGAACGCACAGAAAGACTGAGGGAGCAGGCCCCATCGTGAAGCCCATTTCACAGGTCTGAACAGCAGAGAGGGAAAACGGCCCACTCTAGGACGACCCCCAGCGGCTGGGAGCCTGCCCCTGTGAATTGAAACTGAGGACATGAATACAGAGAGAGAAGGTTCTCGTTCACAGTGAGAATCCTACTTCCGCACTGAGGGGCAGCCACAGCTTTCAAACTGGGCCAGCAGCTTGCTTGGGGGCTATGAGGTGGCCTAATTTAGGAGTTGGAAGTAAAAGAAAGAACGTTTTGCAAAGTGGAGAAAACTCTACGTCAAGAGCAGTCATCTCTGTTAAGAGGGCAGGGCTCATGAATGCTGTTTTAATTAGGAAGTCATAGGAATTTAATGTGCACGGCAGTAGGGTGCTCGCCTCAGGGGACACGGTGGGGCAAAGTTGTGGTTGCGGGTCCGAGACCTGTGCTGGCATGAGTCTGCTCTCCAGACCCAGCCAGAGGGAGAGTGCTGGCTGCCTCCCTTGGCCAGGTCTTGTTTTCCTGCTTTGAAAAATGAGAGTAATTACACTGATTTCCACCATTAAATAATTGATGAGAACACAGTCCAGAAAGCATCACGTCTGACCACAGTACAAAGGTTTCATTACCCTCACATCAGGATCACTTATTTCTCTCAGCTCTCGGTCCAGGGAAGCCCAGCTTTGCCCGAGAACGGAGACTGTGTTCCTTTGTCCGCTAATTCTTTCCGGCCCGCCATCTCCCAAGGACGGGAGGTAGGTACAGAAACCTGCACTGAGCGCAGCATCATTTCAGTAAACACCTCGGTGAGTCTCAGAGGCTACTGCTCACAAGCACTGCAGGAAGAGTGATTTGGGGGGACTCTTCTTGCCTGTCAGTTTGTTGAATTTGTGAATGAGGAAAGAGGCTAGTAAGTTGGGATTCCCTTTAAGTTCAGGGAGTGCCCACTTTTGCAGCACCCATGATGCCCTCTTAGATAGTCTCTGCCTTACAGAGACAGCCCCAAAGGCATCATGGGAATGGGGCCCCTTTCCTGCCCATCAGCACTGACCACCACCTTCATGACAGGGGAGCTGACACCCCCAACGGACAGGGGCCAGGACGTGCACGAAAACATCAGGATGGGACACGAGCAAAGACTTGGTGAAGCACTCCTTCAGCAGAACGCAGAAGAAACACTGGTAAAAACAAAGATGCTTTATTTCTGAGCCCAAAGAAGCCTGAGCAAAGCCCTCCTTTGGGGGGTGCGGATTTTGTATCCAGTCTGGACAGAAGGGTGATCGTTTCATATCCAACCGCTGTGTCCTCAGCGACGGGGGCCACAGCGACGGAAGGACGAGTGCTGCGGCCCGGGGGCTGCCCCTGATCCGACAGAGGCTCTGCACACCGGGGCTCCATCGGAGATGACTCACGCTCCCCACGACCGCTGTTCAAAGCCGTCGGGAGGAGATGCCCAGAGGATGCGTTTAAACTAGAACCTTGGTGGAGCGTTTGTGACGACCATGCACTTGGAAAGGCATTAGGAAAATGTACGCTACTGGAGGAAAAGAATGCAGAGAGATAGTCGTGCAACCGAGCACAACCGGAGACACAGCCCTGGGGTGGGTCAGCCTGCGGTTAGTTGGGAAAGTGAACTCCGGGAAGAAAGGCCGCGGGGAGGGTGGGGGCCTGGGGACTCCCGCCCACGTCAGGGACCGGATGTTTGTGTCCCCTCCCTGTGCCCCACCGAATGTATGTGTTGGGATCTGTTAGTGCACACCCACCCAAGGGAAGATCCCTGGACCGAACACCCACCTCGGAAAGCAGAGGGCAGGGTAGATGAAGAGAGCGGCTGGGCGCTCTGATCGGGTAATGGATAGTGTTTATTAAGAGAAACTTCCATAGGAGGCACAGCTCGGGCAGCTGCCCGATGGAATGAATGTCTGCAGCTCTCCGCCGGAGCCAAAGAACAGGGTCCAGGGTGGGGGGATAGTACGCAAATGCTACCAGGTTCGAGAAATCACTTGACATGTCGACGAGGTCAGGACAAGGGCCTGTTCCAGAAACCAGCGGGAGGCAGCGGAGGGTACTGGTTTATTGATTACCATGAGGTTATCTTCAAGAGGGCGTTGCAAGGAGCAATCTCCCCCTTCTGACCCAGGTTCAGCTCCCGGGCCAGACAGAGGTCATGCCATGGAAGAGTCTCTGCCCCACCAAATCAGAACCCCCAGGGCAAGGTGGGGAGGGGGTGACTCGGAGGTGGAGCCTTTGGGAGGGGAGTAGGCCCTGAGGGTGAAGCCCTCGTGAATGGGATTCATGCCTGTACTTTCAGGGCTGCCCAGACAAGCAGACCGATAGATGTACAGATACATGAGACTGATTGTAGGAATTCACCCACGCAGTTACGGAGGCCAGGAAGCCCCAAGACCTGCTGTCTGCAAGCTGGAGAACCAGGAACACGGGGCTCTGACTCAGTCTGGTCCAGGGGCCTGAGGCCTGGGGAGGCTGTGCGTGCAGGGCCTGGAGTCCCAACACCCAGGAGGAGTGAGGGGTGCCGGTGTCTGAGGGCAGGAGGAGGTGGGGGTCCCAGCTCCGGGACAGAGAGAGCTCCCCCTTCCTTCCTCTTTGTTACAGTCAAACCCTCCATGGACTGGATGGTGTCCACCCCCCTGGTGAGGACTTGATCTCTTTATTTAGTCTATGGAGTCAAAAGCTAATGGGTCTTCCAGAAACACCCGCACAGACGCACCCAGAAAAAATGTCTTACCAGCTCCCTGGGCTCCCCTTAGCCCCGTGAAGCCGACACATAAAATGAACCATCTCGGGGCCCTGAGAGACAGGAGAGAGCTCGCTTCCTCTCTCTCTGCTCTCTGCCACGTGAGGGCACGAGAAGACGGCAGACCAGGGGGAGGGTCCTCATCAGACCAGGTCTGCCAGCACCATGAGCTTGGACTTCCAGCCTCCAGGACTGAGAAATAAATGTGCGTTGTTTAAGCCGGCTAGTGTTGGGTGATTTGTCACAGCAGCCCGAGGTGAGCCACTCCCTGAAGGGTCCTCTCCCTCAGCCTGGGAGTCAAGGTCATCTGTAGTAGGCGGGGCTCAGAGGACTCTCCCAGCCAGACACGGCGACAGGATGGACACTCTCCTCCCTCCCCACCTTCTCTCGCAGGCCTCTCCCAGGTTTCACCCCTCCACACCCCATGTAGCCTTGCAGGTCTGAGGCCGGCCCTGTGCTGGGTGTTCCTGACACCCGCCTTCGCTCTCATTCCATGCTGATGGAACTCTGATCTTGTTCCAGGTAGCTGATTGTTTTAAGCCGGTGATTTTCTTTCTTTTCTTTTTCTCTTTCTTTTTTTTCTCTTTCTTTCTTTCTCTTCTTTCTTTCTTTCTTTCTTTCTTTCCTTTCTCTTTCTTTCTTTCTTCTTTTCTCTTTCTTCTTTTCTTTCTTTCCTTTCTCTCTCTCTCTTTCTTTCTTTCTTTGATTTTATTTATTTATTTTTAGAGAGAGGGGAAAGGAGGAAGAAAGAGAAGGAAAGAAACATTGATGTGTGAGAGAAACATTCATTAACTGACTCTCACACACCCCCAACCAGGGACCTGTCATGCAACCCAGGCATGGGCCCTGACCGGGAATTGAACCAGCGACCCTTTGGTTCACAGGCGGGAACTCAGTCCACTGAGCCACACCAGCCAGGGCCCAGATATGCTTTTTAAACCCCCCGGGAGGTTGGCAGGGATTGCGACAGTCATCCAACCAGGGCTGTGGAGACCATGGGGCTCCAGTCGTACTCACGCGCTGTGCCCCTCGGGAAGGCGGTCTCCTGACTCACACCAGACGTCAAGCGGCGCTTTTGCCCCAGGAACTCCAGCTCTGGGAATTTACCCTAAAGAAGTAATCAGACCAATGCCCAACAAAAAGAACTGCTTACATAAATTAGGGTCCGATCGTACAGGGAATTCCAGTCCTTGTGGGGGAAGTGAAGCGCGTGACAACCACCGTGTAGCATCTCACTGAGATGCGTTCACACGCAGAAACTCACGTGCGTGCGTACCTATTACCAAAAGCATTTGGAAAGAAGGAGCATATACCAAATTGGATGGCGAAATTATAGGCGATCCTCTCCCCTCCCCTCCCTTTATGTGAATACCCTTCTGACTTCTCTGTAACTAATGTGTATTCACTGAGGACAAGAAATAATACACGTTTTCGTAAAATTGCGTTGTGGTATTTGCTATATTGCTCGAGGTGGGAACGGAGTGTGCCCCCCGCCCTCCCTGCTTAGGGTGGGGTCGGCGCGTTATGACTGTGTGTTTAGCGAGTCCGCGCCCAACATGGTGGGGACCCACCCACCCCCGGTCCTGGCCCTGCACGCAGATGACTGGGGACCAGGGCCTAGTCTCCTGCTGGTACAAGGACACCATGACCCTACGGCACCCACCTTGCTGGATGAATGAATTGTCACCATGCAGAGACGATTTTCTTTTTTTTTTTTCAAGATTTTTAAAAATGTATTTATAGAGAGGGAAGTGGGAGGGAGATAGAGAGAGAGAGAGAAACATCAATGTGCGGTTGCTGGGGGCCGTGGCCTGAAACCCAGGCATGTACCCTGACTGGGAATCGAACCTGTGACACTTTGGTTCGCAGCCTGCGCTCAATCCACTGAGCTACGCCAGCCAGGTGGAGACGATTTTCAAAGTGCCAGGGATCACGTAAACCCACGTTGTGATGTCTCCCGCTGTCATGGTTCCTTAGGAAGAAAAAAACAAACAAACAAACAAAAAAACTGGTGATTCCACACTAAGCAGCAAAACCAGAACAATCCACTCATCATCCAAGTTCTAAAAATAGCACTCGGCGACGCCAATCAATGGAGAATCGTAGTCATGTCAGGGTTTGGGAAATGCCAGCCTGGAGGAGGTCGGAAGGAACGGGACGTTTGTCATCTGTGTGCTTTCGTTAGAGAGCGAAACATCATGCTCGCGCTGCTGAGGGCTCTCACGCAGCGCTGTCCTGGGGTCCGTGCCCGTGCGCCGCACAGAGGGCAGGGCCGCTGCTCTGCCGTCGGAGGGACCGGGCGTGAATTCCTGGCTCTGTTCCTAGCTGGGTGGCTGTTAAGAGCCTCCTGAGCCTCGGTTTCCACATCTGTCAAGTGGGGCCCTGCAGGGGCATTGTGCAGATAAAGTGAGGAATGAATTAAAAGAGCCTCGTGCGATGATTTGCAGAGGACGTCTAGTACATACTGCTTTAAACACTGTTATCGTAACCCCTACTGTTCTCCGTCTTCCTTCGAGCCACAGCCAGGGGACAACGTACCCGGGATACAGGAGGAAAGCAGCTGCAAGAAGCACAAGCTGCCGGTTGTGAGAACAGTCCCAGGGGTGTGCAGCACAGCCCAGGGAGTATAGTCGGGAGCCCTGAAATAACCATGCCTGGTGCCAGGTGGGCACCAGACTCATTGGGGGGACCACTTCGTAAGGTACAGAAATCTCTAATCACTATGTAGTGCACTTGAAACGAACATAATATTGTATGTCAGCTGTACTTAAGAATGACATTAAATTAATTTTTAACAAAACAGGAAAAAAAGTCAGCTTGCCCTGGCTGGGACAGAGGTCGGACTTGGGCAGGACAGAGGTTGGGTGCCCTGTTGGAACCCCTTCAGGGCAGTCCCATCATCCTGGGACTCACCTCATTTTTAAATGTGTTCTCTTTGAGGGAGACGTGAACAGTGCATCTACATCCGTTATGTTTGCAAGGGAATCAGTTACAGAAGCAGAGAACCTGAAAGTGCATGGCTGTATGTCACCTCAACAGCAGCTGCTTCCCATCTGCAGCTTTAGCTGGGGGTGCGGGGCTGAGCCCCATTTCCTGCTCCTTCCTTTCATCCCCCCTCCTGGAAATGTGGCTTCCCACCTTGGCTCGTGGGCGGATCCCACCTGCCTCTGGGGATCGTCCCAGAAGGTAGCAGATGTGGTGGTCCCTCATCACCACGGTCCGGCATCCAGCGAGCAGACAAAAACCGACCTTGCCTGCTCTGCGGTGACCGGTGACCACATGAAAGGGCTCAAGTCTTGGCTGAATCCTGTTCTGTCTGTGCCGCCCACCACCCACCTGTGGAGGGTGGAGGGTGGAGGGTGGGCGGGCCCTGCAGGTGCTGCTGCTCTGCCTTTCCAGGGGACGGCAGAGTGGGGTGAGCCTGAAGGGGAGGGGGGCCTCTGACACTGCCCTGTGACTGCAGGCTGCCTGAGCCCAGGTTATTCCAGAAAGACACACCTGCCCCCCCGCCCCACACCAGCAGTGCCCTCATTTCACACCGGCTGCCCTGTGTCCCATTTTACACACAGCATAAAAAAAGCAACATTCTAACTCCTCCTGGCCCTGGGCTTGAGCGACCTATCCCAGACCTTTGCTGTCCACCCCTTTCTGCTTTCACGCTGCAGTCCGACTGTCCCCACTGCCCTGTCCCCCAGCACCACCCAACTTCTTCTGCTCGTAGAATCCACCCTGCTCACTCTCCGCCCAGCAGCTGAGAACTCCAGGTTCCTACCCACAGACTGCCTCTCGGAGGCCTGCTCTGACCGTCCAGTGTCTGGGAAGCATCACGGCCCTGTGACACTGCCCCATTTCCTCTGCGGCACCCCCCCTCCCCCGCCCCCCCGCAACACGCACCTGTTCCCAGGTGCGTCACCTGGTTTCCCCCGTGGAGTAGAAGTCATGCAGAGAAGGAGCCTCTGCCCTGTCTACTCTGTCCCCGGCTCAACGGCACCACTTACTGGACGGTGCGGCCGTTCCCCCTTCTTCAGCTTTGGTTGCTGAAGAAAGAGCTTCTCAGCCTCACGCAGCCTCTGAGCGATTGGTCTGAAAGGTCCCAGGGCTGCGGGACGGGGAGACGGTGAGGGCGCAGTGGGTGGAGCACCGAGGTCAGAGAGCATCTGGAAGCCCCAGCTCTGCCTTATCCCAGCTGCCTGGCCTGGAGCAAAGGATATCAGGAAAATGCAGATTTTTAACTTAACCGTAGACATATGCTAAAGAGCTCTGGCCCCACACTCTATTTTTGTCCCTCCACTGTTTACCTTGGGCAAAGCCGAGGGAGTTGTTTCTGGCATCGGGATTCCGGGGCCCAGACCCCAGAGAGCCATGGCCCTGGGCCAGTGGGTCTCAGACTGGACCACGCATGCGGATCTCCGGGAGGGCTGAAAAAGCAGGCGGTTGGGCCCCCCCCCCCCCCAGAGTTTCTGATTCAGCGGGCCTGGGTGGGGGGGGGGAATCCCTCTGCATATCTCACGTGCTCCCCAGTGGTGGGGTGCTGCTGGCCCAGGGACCACCCTTTGAGGACCACTAATGTAGACAGGAGGCATCGGGCGAGGATGGGCAACACCACTGAGATTTGTACAGTGCTCCAGCATCTGTAAACCAAGTTTCAGATGCATTCAATTTATTTGCTCCTCCCAAAGCCCTGAGAAGTGGGCGTTACACCCAATGTACAGATGAGCAGACGGAGGTTTGCAGGGTCACACAAGCACATACTGGCTGCCCCCCGCCCCCCCCCCCCGCCGTCCCTGCACTGACATCCCAGAGGGGTGAACATCCTAGACATCCGGTATGCAAAAGGCCGCTCTACCCTACTACGTCCCTGAGTCCTCTGACTCCGGCACGAATGATGGTGGTTGCCTCCAGAAGGGGTCTCCTGGCCTGGGCTCCCCCTTCTCCCTGCAAGCGGTCTACAGCACAGGCGTGGCGAGCACCGGTTTTCCAGTTATGGAAGGGGTTTAGTTTTTGCTCTGGTGGTGCCACCTGTGTGATCTTGAACAAGTTGTATAGCACTTATAATTTACAAAGTAGTTTTTTTCTTTTTTTTCCATGTACCCTCTCATTGGATAGTTACAACAATCCAACTTACAATTCCACTGAAGTGCCCTGGCCCGGTGGCTCAGTTGGTTGGAGCGTTGTCCCGTACACCCGAAAGGTCACAGGTTCAATTCCTGGTCAGGGAGCATATCTCGCTCCTGGGTTCCATCCCAGGTTGGGGCATGTATAGGAGGCAAGGGTGATGTTTCTCTCTCACATCAATATCTCTCTCTCTCACCCCCTTCTGCTGTCCCCCTTCCACTGTCCCCAAGATCAATAAAAAATGTCCTCAGGTGAGGATTTAAGAAAATTTCCACTTAAGCTCTCCGCTGTTGCCTACAGGGTGAAGTTCAGGACGTCTGGTAAGGCCCCTGCCCCCTCCCCCTCCAATTTCCCCTGGAACGGAGCAGAGAACGGGTCCCATGTTTATTCGTCCCGTAAATACTGGCTGCCTCCACGTGCCAGGAAATGCACAAGATGCCAAGGCTCCACACGAGAGGCGGCGGGCAGTGACGTGGTGGAGCCCATGGGCAGCGGATGTTCCGCCACAACCAGGCCCTGTGTTCACGGCAGTGCTTATCCCGTGGGGCTGGAATCGCCCGGTTGAACGGTCAGCCCCCCCACCAGACTACAGATACGCTTCGTGAGCCGACCGCCTCGCTTACTCACTCCTGTGCTTTGCACAGTGACTGCACAATTAATGTCTGTTAAATCGAGCCCAAGAAGAGATACCGATGCGTTTTCTATCGTATTGCACTTACCTCATTAACCCCGACTTTATGGTGTTTCTAAACTTTCCCTAGTATTTACATTCTTATGCAGGCGTATCTAAAATGAAATGAGAATATGGTTACTGAAAATAATTGCAGTTTCAGAGATAATGACCCACTTTGCAGGTGATTCACCCTTCCAGAGCTTGCACATTCTGCACTTCTGGAACTGTCTTCTTACAAAGGTGCTGAGTATACTTTTAGAACCCCTTAGTTTCTTCACGTGCTTAAAGAAAAAGTTGTGGCCCTGGCTGGCGTAGCTCAGTGGATTGAGCGCGGGCTGCGAACCAAAGTGTCGCAGGTTCGATTCCCAGTCAGGGTACATACTTGGGTTGCAGGCCACAGCCCCCAGCAACTGCACATTGATGTTTCTCTCTCTCTCTCTCTTTCTCCCTCCCTTCCCTCTCTAAAAATAAATAAATAAAATCTTTTAAAAAAAGTTGCAAGTTAAAGCAAAAAACATCGTGCGGAGAGCCAGGCTGCTTCTTTGTTTCTTTCATATCAACTTCCAATGCAACTTGACCACACGGCACCTAAACGCGCCTTCCCCCACTTGGCTGTCTGAGCCGACCACCTTCTCTTACTGAAACTCAGGGCAGTGAGGGCATGCTTGCCGGCACTGCTGCGCACGAGCCAACTTTCCGGACACCGAGGCTCCCTTCGAACGCCAACGTCTTTAACGACGTCCCTTCTCAACCGCACACGCTCCCCTTTAATCAGATCTAAAGCTGCCTCAGCGTCTGACACTCACAATGCCACAGGTCACCCTGAGCCAGAACATAGGAGTCTTTTCAGCAGTCACTTGTGTGACACCATTGCCTCAGACTAGCCCCAGATGGCATCTCTGCTGATTTTTTATTTTTTAAAAGATTTATTTTTAGAAAGAGGGCAAGGGAAGGAGAGAGGGGAAACATCAATGTGTTGTTGCCTCTCATGCGCCCCCTATTGGGGGCCCAACCTGGCCTGCAACCCAGGCATGTACCCTGACTGGGAATCGAACTGGCGACCCTTTGGTTCACAGGCTGGCACTCAATCCACTCAACTACACCAGCCAGGGCTCTTTGCTGCTTTTTTTGACGTATGTAGTAACTCCGTTGGCTTCCACCTCCCCGTGCTCACATGCTAGGCTCCTGTGCTCTGTTGCTGTGCACATGACCTTCCAGAGAGACAAGGGGCAAGGCACAGCTGCTGGGGAGAGTGCACCGCCCAACGGGACTTCGTCAATTCTGAACGAGTCTGATGTTCAGTTGGAGATGGCCCAGGGCGCTGGGAGACCGCCCGTGGAGTAAGTGGGGCGTAGTGACCTCTCTTTTCCCCTAGAAACAACAAATGGTAAGTGTGAGCCCGCGTGCACTTTCAGAAGCCAGTGTTTTAGCGAGGCAGGTCTAACACCTCACTCATGTAAAGCTCTCCCAAGAGGCCCTTTCAGATTCCCTAGCAGTGGATGAGGGCGGGAACAGGCCCTCGGCACTGGGTGGCTGAGGGGCAAAGGCCTGTCTCCCTCTCTTGGGTACAGGCAAAGCTGAGTGTTCCAAGGGGACAGGCACCTCTGCTCTGCAGGAGCCTTCGGGGACCCAGGCTCCTTCCCGCCTCCTGTGAGTGCTGAGCTTTTTACCTGTGTGGTTGCGGTGAGGGCACACCTGCTCCGAGTTCCAGCCGGTGGGAAGCAGAGAGAAGGTGGAGGGGACCTGTCACGGCATATGCCCCTCCCACTTCCACCCCTTGGCGAGAATCAGTCACCTGGCCACACGGCACAGCGAGGTGGGCTCGGGAGCCCAGTCCCCGACTGGACAGCCTGGTGCCCGGCTACCCCTGTATCTGCGTGCACCACCAGTGTCTCCAGTAGAAGCGCAATTTCTTGTTTGTGCTTGATAGAAGCCCTTGAAACGGCTCTATGGTCATCTTATCTTTAGTCCATTCAATAGGAAAAGAACCAGGCTTACAACTCCTGATACACAGGTGATTAATAACTCTCCGTTGAAAGAAGAGCTAAAACTGAGACACATCAAAATGTCGTGGCTTTGAATTGCTTTGCGAGTGTACGTCCCTCTCTGCTGAGTGACCAAGGGCGGAAGGAGAGTGTCTGCGCATCTAAGTGTGACCCGTGTCTTCCATGGACGTGTGCTGAGAGTGTCAAGTACATGTGCTGGCCCACACTCGGCGGTCCAGAGGGAGTCTGGGCAGGCTCCTGAGTGACCCTTAGTGTTTACACCTTGATTCCAAAGGAAAAGCCAGTAAGAGTCTGACCTAGGTCGTGTCTCACATGTTCAAACCGAAGCACTGCCTTGAACTTGAGTCCCAGGTGTGGAAGGAGTATTTGTGACATTCAGAACACTTGAAAAGTGCAAGAACCTCCCCTTGCTAACAGATATTAAATGGTCTATGATCAAGGCCTGGCTTTTTTCTTTTAAAGACAAAAATCAAACATTTTTGTCACCATCAAGACCAAAAGAATAATTCAGATTTGTTGTAGTCCTGTCACTTGTAAATTAGAAATAAATTCTTATAGAATGGGAAATTCACTCCACCAAATGTAACAGTAAACGTCATCAAAATAAATTCAGTGACCTTTTTAAAAAAGATTACAAAATTGAATTTATTGAGTTTCACACAAGATGCACTTATAAAATTAGTACTGAATGCCATTTTGACAGCAGAAATGAACATCATTCCAAACTCCCAATATTTTCTGTGAAGGAAATGAAACTCTTGTGAAATTGACAGCACAGTAACAGAGTAATTCGGGCTGAACTGAAAGATATGCCACCATCATACTTTTGCTCTGGTTAGGGCTAGGTTTGGCAAAGTTTTCCCCCAAACTATTCCTATTCGCCATGGACACTTTTAGTGGAGAACATGAAAAAAAAAAAATCCTAAACTGGGGCGTCATTAAAACATAGACAAAGCAATTAATAGTCTTTTCATTTTTCACTTGAAATACGTCACGGCCAACAAGAGTATTTCTGTACTATTTCCTTTTACCCGATGCGAACACTAATCTTTAGATTTCTTTAGTTAATGCAAAACATTAGGAAATCACTTTCGTGTGTCGAATAAACAAGACAAAGCTTTACTCAAGCCTGTTTGCGTTTCACCCAGGAAACAGACAACCACCGAACACGGACCTCTGCGTACCCTACGCCTGCAACATCGGCAGAGGAGCTGAGCTTCACGATGAAAACATTGAAGGGAACAACAGTTAACAGTGACCCCCGGACACTCTGGCACTAGATGCCGTGAAATGTTCAGAAAGATGCAGAAAGGCTTCTCAAGATAAAACGTGGTGGAAAATAACCTGCTTATGATATAGGCCACAAACTAGTAAGTAAGCAGACATGGAATCCTGACCTCGAACCAAAAAGCACCTTTTGGTTGCTGTTCCTGACATCCATACACAAGAGCCTCAGACAGCCACCCACGCACCCCGGACACCCCATCTCCTCTCTCCCAACACACGCCTGCCCTGACCCCGCACAGGCACACGGGACGGTCACACGTCCCCACGCAGACCCGGCCCCACAGAGCACAGACGGGCCCCGGGGGCAGGCACGGCACCCCCCCACCCCGGCCACTCCACACGGAAGGACTGATGCGCGGGGTGAGCCCACGCCAGACGGTGCCGCTCAGCCCACTTCACTGTTTACTTTAAACCTGTCACTCAGAAAGCTCACGTCACAGTCAGCATCTTTGCATTTTGAACACGGACAGCTCTGCAGCCTGTCCAACACCAAATCCTCTGAACTGCAACAACTGCCGAAGCAATTAGTTTTAGAGCGAGACCAGTTGGCTGTCCGTTGACATTGACGCTGCTCTGCTTTTTCAGTATAAAAACTACCTTTTGGTAAGGTAATTTCTATTTCATCCACTGTGATTAAACGACACACAGGTCACATTTTGCTTTAGAGTACACTGAAAAATTATGAAACATTTTCTCGGTGATGCATAACCTTCATTGATTAACATTTTTTAAATCAGACAAACTGGCTTAGGGCTTTTTTCCCCCTATAAAACGCTACTATTCATCGTGTCTTACTTAAGGTAGCCTTTTATTCTGAATAATTCAGATACATCTTCAAGGATAATTCTGTGGTGAGGACATTTATCTTGACTTGAGTTCAATTACTTTTTTTAAATGCTTTGGCAGAGCAAGTAGCTTGAAAACGGTTCGTGGAAATTGCATGAGCCGGGACAGGCCACGTCTCGGAGAAAGCGTCACAGTTTCCCAGGCGCGTGCCCTCCTACCGGAGGGACCCCGGGGCCGAGTTCGGTGTTCTGGAAGCACGGACTGACAGAGCAGAGTGGTTCTGAGGTGGTTCCCGTGGGCCGGAAGTGACCCTGCTGCTTCTCCAAGCAGGGGGGACCCTCAAAGGTCCAGGCTGGAGGTGGCTGCTGGTCCATGACCTCACCTTCGACCAGACCACATCACTGGAAGGAAGGTACTAAGATTTGCTTTCCATTAATAATTTAAGTTTTTAAATAAATATTTAAGTGCCACTTTCCGCATCTGTCCGCCCGGCAGCGCAGCCCGGCCGCCCCAGGGCCCGGCGCTCGGCACGCGGCGCCGCGGAGCTCAGTCAATCCGGTTCCCGCAGATCGTGAACCTGTCTATGTCCAGGAGGTCTTTCTTGGAGGACCTGTGCTTCAGTTCCGAGTTGTCCTGCGCTATGTCCTTCTCGTCGCCGTCGGGGGTCGTCAGGAACTGGTCAGAACTGCTCGTCACGAGCAGCGGCACGACGCTGTCCTTCTGATGGCTGGGCTGGCTGGTGACGGAGGCAGACAGGTTTTCTTCTGTGGAAACACAGACCCGTCACCGTCAGTCAGCAAGAAGGGCTGCCCCCAAGCTCAGAACCGCGATGCGCTTACCAGCGCGGTGGCCCTGAGGGAAGAGGGAACGGCAACCAAACGGCATGCTGCACCAGCAGCCACAGTTCAGACGGTGATACCCGGAGGCGACGCCACTTGTGTTTGCTAACCCACGCTCTCACACAGGGGTCACGGGAGTCATTTCATACAAATGACGCCGCGCCCGGCTTTGGAAGGAGCGGGAGTCCCACATGAGCAGTCCCTCCCACCCCGGGGCCTCGCCGCCTGCTGCCAGGCCGGGAGGAGGAACGTCAGCTCCTCCCCGGGCGTCAGGGCTGAGCAGGCCCTGCAGCGCGCCGGCTCTCACTGCAGCCACTTCTGCTCTCACTGCAGCCACTTCTGCTGGACTCAGCACCCCACCCGCAGCAAGTCCTCATCTGAGGCAAACACAAACCAATAAACAAGCCCCAAACTGTATTTGGGGCCACAGGGTCCGGGAGCCCGGCCTGGGGGCACCTGGGCTGGGGCCTGGCCCCGTCGATCAGACCCGCTTGTGCCGTCCCTGGGGCAGCGGCTTGCTGGGGGTGAAGCAGATGCACCACAGGCTGCGCGTGTTTCAGGTGGATGACCCACTATGTGCTGGCCTGCGCTACGCCCACCGCCAGCCGCCTGTCTCCGCATACTCCCTCCGTCCTGCCCTCCCTGAGCCCCAACCCCGGCTGCCATCTTCTGCTTCTTTTAAAACATGAAGAACACCACGCCGGCCTGAGAGCTGGGACCTCTTTGCGTCTCTGATCGGGGCCCACGCTGCCTGCTGTGCAACACGCTCCCGGTGCTCTCTGGCCCGTGGTCTCCGGGCCCCATGCTCAGACAACTCATCCGAAATTCCCTCCTAGTACACGGTCCCGGATCCAGGGGCCTCGACCTGGGACCTGTGCCTAGGGCTCTACCTCCGCACTGGTGTGGAGGCTCCTTCAAGCACGACGGACGCTGAGTGCTTAGGAGCTGACTGCGGGAGCCTAGCACACCAGCACACACGCGGCCCGCTGTGAACCAGCCAGGAGGCTGAAGCACACGCAGCCCCAGGTTGCGGCCAGTGCTCACATGTTCTTTGTAACGAAAACTTACTCCGAGTGGGGCTCCAACCCCCCCCACCACTTCACAGCAGCTCCCTGTAGCGCACACACGGCAAGCGCGGGCCTCTCTCTTCCCTTGGGACCAGGCACCCACCCTCGCCCGGCCCACTTCCCCCGTTCCGTCCAGACTCAGTTTGGGCAGCGCCCACTCCAGGAAGGGACGGGCCCTCTCCTGCTGATAAGCTCACTCCCTTGTTTGAATTACCCACCCGCGTCACCCCCCCCCCCCCCCCCCCCCCCCGTCAGTCTGCGAGGCCCTGAAAGCGCGCCGTGTCTGCCTTCGCACCGTGCAGGCACGCAGCGGCTCCGTGCATTCACGACTACACCCCTGCAACTAAACGTCCTGCGAACCTAACACCCGTGTGAAAGGGAAACTGGCATCTAACGACAAAAACTCAGTCAGGGTCCCTGTTCTCCCTTCAAATCTCCCGGGCCAGGAGCCCTGGGTCCTCCCTAACTGCTGCCGCCTCCTCTCACTGCACGACCGCACCCGCAGGTCCCCGGCTCTCCAGGCCCTTCCGGCATCCGGTCAGCCGCCCCCGCTCAGACCACGAACCTCTGCTCCGAGCCAGGCAGCCTGCCCCGGGCCCTGGTCTCTGGGCTTACCCTTCCTCACTATTTTTTCACAAAGCTTGACAATCACCTTTTTAAAGTGTCTACTGGGTCACATCCCCGCTCTGTTCCAAGCCCTGCATCAGCCCCTTCCTATGGCGTGAAAGCCACAGTCCTCAGAACTGCCCACAGGGCCCCGGTTGAGCTGGGGCCCCGCAGCCTCTCAGGCCTGCTCCAGTCCCCACCCCGGGCCTTGGCATGGCCCTCTGGCCCTCTGCCTGGCCACCTCCCTGGAAGGTGCGTCTCCTGGTGGCTGGCGGGTGTCCGCTTTCCCCGACCCTGCCTTGGTTTTCTCTGCAGCACCTCGTCACTGCCACCTGACAGGGTGCTCATTCCCCCTCTCTGACACTCTGGAGCGGGTGCTGCCCCCTCCTCCCACGGCGGACCCCACGCAGTGGGTGTCTGGTGACCATCGGTTGCACAGTGAAGGGACGTGACAGCTCAGAGCGCTGCCTGAGGCGCATCGGGGGCACGACCCACACAGGGACGCTGACAACAGCCACTGAGCAAGGTAAAATCACACCCTGAAGGCGCTGCTACGTGGGCCGTGGTGGCGAGTGTGCCGGGGGGACGAGTTCACTCGAACACTCCTCGGAACGTGACCCGGAGGTGTGGCGAGGAGGGCACCTACCTGGAGAGGGTTTACACTTGCTCTGCGGTTTGCCGGGCGGTTTGCTGGGAGTGCCGGTGGGGGGAGGGTTAAACAACTTCTCTTCCATTTTGGCCCCCTTCACATATTGGCAGGATTTCCCCAATAGCACAATGCTATTCAGCACTTTCAGGGATATCAACCTGAAACCAGAAAGAGACACTTGACCACTGCTGGAACTCACCTCGCTCACTGTGGGTGCCCCTGCCACCAGGGTGAGAGGAGGACCCCGGAGGCGGAGGGTCCAAGCCCGAGACACCCCCACACCGAGCTCCTGAGGCTTCCTCTGGGGGAAATGTATGACCAGTTCCTTACTTCTCATTGTAAGAAGAAATCACACCCTTTAAAAGTTACAGCTTCTAATTACTGGACATTTCTTTCTTTCTTACATCATTTAGCAGTCTTATCCAAACTGTTCAACACTTTCCTCGCATTACAAAATCAATGCTTCTGGTGAAGCCAGGTGGACAAGAAACCCGTATGACATAGCTCAGGGAGCCACACGCCAGCGCCAGCCCGTGCAGAACCTGCAGCGTCACCTTCGGCCGCTCTGCTGTGCTTTCTTGCAGTTCCGTGCGGCCCCCTCCGAGGCGGGGGGGGCCGGGGGCTGAGTCTGAGCTCCCACACTAAGGCCACTGTTGAGATGCTTGTGGACCGGGGCACTTCACCAGCCAACCCATAAAGGGACGGTCCCGGTCAGGCGCTCAGAGCAGTGCCGGTCACACGGAAAGGTCAACCGATCTTGTTACTTCACTATCGTCGTTACTGGTCTGCATGGACAGTGTATGACGAATACTGTTTCCTATCATTTAATGTTCCTCAGTCACACTATTCTAATGGACTGATAATACTGCACTGTAAGGGTTGTCATATAACAAAGCCCCTCAAAGCCCTTACTTTCTGGATATTTAGGTAATTTTAAATATTTTTCTTCCATTAAGAAGTCTCTGATTATGAAAACTTATGTTCAATTTGTATTTCCTTAAAATAGATTCCTAGCAGCTATAATTATAGAAGTCAGACTTCTAGACCAAAGGTACATAAAATTTGCAGGTATTGATACAAATCTGGCAAAACTCCTGGGGAAAAAACAAACCCTCCCTATTGGGACCTCCTCACACATGGGGCCCTTAGCAACACCGAGGGCCTCGCCAGCTGCCTGGCGACAGGCCCTGGGGGCACACACTTCCCCACCTACCCCCACCCCAGCCCCAGCTTTGCTCGGTGACCCTTACACCACGCCTCCCACGGCTTCCTCGGCACTGCCTGGGGGATTTCAGACTTACTAGAGCCAGCCCTGGTCCCCCAAAACAAAACACAAAACAAGCCCCCCGTGTGTATGTCACAGGCTCCCCCACCACAGTTCGTGGCAATTCCACGGCCCCAGTGGCTTGGGCTCCAAACTCTGGAATCGCACTCGATCCTTCTCTTTCCCTCACGCTGCACATCCAATCGATTCATCTGCAAGTCCCGCCCAGCTCCACTTCCAGTCTACCGCTGGCTGACAAGTTCTCACCACTCCAGCTCCAGCCACGGTGGCATGCCCTGCAATGGCAGTGCCAGCCTCCTGACCTGGCCTCTGCTCCCCCTCTCCCCACGCTCCAGTCCAGTCTCTGCGCAGCAGCCCCCGTGGCCCTGGCAAGAAGCTGAGGGGATCTGGCTTTCCTCTGCTCAGAACCTTCCAGGGGCTGTCCCCTCCCACAGCTGCTGGGTCTCACTCACCCCCTCTGCCCCCACCCCCACTGCTCGTCTGCATGCCTGCATCTGCGTCTGCATGGAAAGGCAGCTCACAGCGGCTTCCCCGGCTGTTCTCTGCAGGGCAGCCGCCCCTGTCATGTTTTTCTTCCCGATGCTTGCTACCAACTGCCCCTTTACAGTGATTTCTCTTTCTGGTCGTTGCCTGTTCCTCCACTGGAACTTCAGTGATACGAAGGCAGGTACTCGTGTCCTTTTTGGTTGGTCCCCAGACCAGTGCTGGGAGCAGTCCTTGGCAGTGCACGCTGCTCTCTGAGGACGCTGAGCAGGTACCTAGGGACGGCCGAGATCCTTCCCCCCACGGCTCAGTGAACGGCCTGAAAGAGGCTGGGCGTGCGGGGGTCGGGAGGCCCGGCTGAGTTCTGACTTGTTTCTTCTGAAGGGAGACTCCTGGGCCTGCTGGGGTTCAGGAGTAGAGAAGCCTTCACAGGCAGGCAGGTGGCTTTGAGAAAGTCTTTGCGGGAGGGAAGGGTCCTTTTGTTATTACCCTGTTACGGGGTAGTCAGAGTAAGTCAACAGAAGGGAACAGTGGGTGAGGTGACATGGGGCGGGGGTGGCAGGGAAGGTTGTGAATTTCCAGTAATGCCGATTAAAGCACACCCACTCTGATGAATTATGCACAGGCAACTGTAGCTAAACAGAGGTTTTCCGACACAGCAGACACACACGTCCCGTCCTGGTGTGTTGATGTCAAAAGGGAAACACTGGACTAAAAGCTTGTCAGACAAAGATGGGGGCGAGCACAGCAACATTGCTTGATGACCAAGGCACAGTGCCCGTACTTTGAAGGGCCGTGTGAGGATCTGTGCCTGAAAGGGAGAATCTCATATTCTTTAATCAAAAAAGGCTGCCTTAATATGGTAATAGCATTTATGTGTTCATTCGGCTGGAAAGGCTGGAAAACAGTCCATGGCCACACACGTGATCAAAGTTAAACCTGCTTCGCTGCCACTGAAATTACCCCTGCGGCCTGAGTGCCCGGGGGGGACGGCGGGGGGGGCTGGGAAGCACATTCTTGACTCACGATGCCCCTGAGACGCTGACAAGTGACTGTTCCTGGCTCCTGTGACACCTGCCACGCGCCAGGTGTGGGGCACAGAGCAGTGCAGGAAGCACACGCAGTGGGAAATGGGAAGAGCCCAGGTGTCTCTGGGGAGCAGACCCCTGCCCAGGGAGGACCCTGAGGGGCTCCACAGCTGCAGTCGTTCACGCCGCTCCCTCCCCACTCTTCTCCTCCTGAGACGCAGGTCTGGCCCCTTGCAGGTGACGCCTGGGGCACAGCTCCCGGGGCTCCGCTGCAGCCAGCGCAGACCCAGCCACGGGCGGAGAAACGACACCTCTGCCTCTTCTTTGGTTTCTGAGATGCAGACCTTGTGCATGCTGAATCTCTAACGTGGCAAACACGGTAGAAACTCAGAGGATTTTGAGCACAGGGAAATATCTGAATGCAATGGCAGACTTTATTTTACTAAATAAAATGGGAAAACTCAACTCCTAAGCAAAAAGAGCGTTGAGTAAGTAATTTCACTAAAATAAAATCTAAAGTGCTATTAACACTACTAGCAAATAGCAGAACATGGACATCAAGCAGGGCTCAGCGGAGTCCCAAACTCAGCTGGAGGTGCAGGCTGTCTGGGGGCCCCGGGCCGAGAGCGTGGGTGCACTATGACTCAGCTGCCTCTTGCACGTATACTTTACTGTACGACCAAAAACATATTCAAGAACAGTTCATCTTACCCAAAATAGAAGAGTATGACACAGGCATAAGACAGGATTCCTTGCACTTTAATTGAGCTTGTTACAACTCTGATGAGCTAGCCAGAAACAAACCAAAACAACAAAAACACACAAACAAAACACAACCACAGAGTTATTAGTTAATATTGAAACAGTCATTATGCTGATTTTAACACTTTAGGCACACACCCATGGCCTCTGTCTAAATCCCAGTAGGCAGGCAGTTCTAGATCTGCCGATTATACCGAACTGCGGCAGCTTGTGAAAGCTTCTGCAGAGGGTGTGGGCTGTTCAGGCAAACCTGGGTGCTCGTGGCTCATGCTACGCTCAACTACTGACTCCGAAGTCAGACATTATTCCTAGTTCATAAATGACACGTTTGCTTGGCCCCAGTAGAGAAGCAATTCAGGTGATTTTTAAAGTAAAAAATTATTTTGGAAAACACCAATGAACTCATTGTGCTACCTGTGTCCCTGCTACAGCTAGAACCATTTAGTGGGCATCTCCACTATTCTTGCTTTTTGGGTCCTGTGGCTTCTGATTCTATTTAAGACATTCCCCACCTCTCAAACATGACTTGCAGAGATCAGAAAGAAAAGGGAAACTTAAGATGCTTTTACTCCTTAAAAAAAAAATACTATTACAAAATCAATTACATAAAGATAAAAAATTTCTGCCTCCTTGGGTTAGTTGAGGTTAAACACCTATTTTCTTTTTTATCTCATAGAAATATAGCAATAAAATCATTACCCTGGGAAGCCTGATGAACAAATCTGGTGGGATTTGCCACCGGAAAATATATATGTACACATTATAGCTTTGGCTTCACAACGTGCCCATATACAGGTATTCCTTACTTTCCAAAAGGTCACTTTACACCACTCTGCTTTCATAAAAGACCTCCATTGGTACCTGTTTTTGCTAACTGAAAACATCCAAAGTTTGCTTTTACTACAAAAAGCAAAAATAACCTGCAAGGTTTTATCTGCTGGACACCTCGAGTGGCTGCACTGCTCCCTCCCAGGGAACCACGCTCAGCCCCTGCGCCTCAGGCCACCGCAGCTGCCCCGGACGGGCACCTGGGCTTCGCCTCAGTGTACTCTGCGCATCTGCTAGCAAGGGGCGTCCTCAGGTGTCAGGGAAGCCCAAGGCAGCTGGGAAGGCTGTTTACATTAAGCGTATAACTGGACGTAATTAAGCACTTTGATCCTGGTGAACAACAGAGACGTACAAATTCACATCAACTGCTGCTTTGATTCATGCCATTTTGGCCTCCTCGAGGTTTCCCAGAAGCGCTCTGTATTCAGACAGCAGGGGCCTGTGTCAGGGCCCAGGGGAACCGTGACATGGAAATGGGAAATCGGGGAAAATAAGTGACCCTGTCTAGTGACGTCGTTTCCATCAAATAATTTACTTTTATACCTTAAATAAACATAAGATACATTTTAAACAATACTTTTAAAATGCTGGCAATAAAAGAGCAACTGGGGGAAACAGAGGGGTGGGCTGTCGTGTGTTCGGTGAAGTCTCACTTGGAGAAAACTGGCACAGAAGGCCGCATCACTCCCTCTACTGGGGCAGCGGCCTGCTGCACTAGCATCCGTGATGCAAGTTCACGAGGCTCCAGGACTTCACTTGTTCAGATGAAAGGTCTGCCAATGACCACATCCAGTGAGGCTCAAGTGACTTCGTTTTTATCTAGCGTATTTTAGGTAACTTTAAGACACATACATGCAAAGCCTCACTCCCATGAGAACTTAATACATGATTTCTTTTACTCTTTTGGGGGTATGAACTCATTGTAGGACCCGGGGTAACATTTAGAAGTAAGCTTTGCCTCCCTTGGGCCTTAGTTAAAAAACTGATTCCTGAGGCCTCGGTATATTCTTCAAAGCTCCTAAACATCTGCCAAAGCTGCAGAGCCACTTTGGAGGTCTGAGAGTAAAGGACTGAAAAAACCCCTAAAAAACAAAAAACAAAACACCCACCAGATCGCTATGAAAATACTGGTTTTCCAGAAGTTTTTTGTCAATTATTAAGTAAGCCTAAATCTTGGTCTAATAACATAAAAACATTTAAAGACAAAAAAAATATTTAAATACTTAAATAAAAATCCATACTCATCATGAATTGAGTTTTCTGACAAATATGTCCCTAGATAGTTATTATTTAACAAACCAGAGCCACGTTCAAATACAATTATCTAACCAATCCTTTTAAACAGAAATTGGCCAGGCTATCTTGGTTACCCTCACACTATATGTATCATGATTCTGGTTATAGAAAACAAACATAGAGAAAGTTAATATTCTACCTTATCAATCTTTTAAATGCTTAAATAATTATTTTACTCTTTAAAATCCTCCCTCTTACCAAAATTTTAGGAGTTCCTTTTCCCAAGAAAAAGAAAGCTGTACTATTTTGTCATAAACTACTGAAGTAACTGAACACACTTAGGGTGCGGTTATCCGGACAGCTGCACTGAAATTTAAGTGACATTAAAACTATTAGTCACCGGCCCTCTGCAGCAGCCAGGCGAGCTGGTCTAAACCACAGCTGCTGGGACCTGCAGTTTCTCCAGCCATCTCTTGGGTGACTCCTTGAGACTGTACCTTAAGTGAGAGCTCCAGATGACCTCTGTGGAGAAGATGGCTGCACCTGTTCTGATGTGAGGCCAGGCAGCAAACCAGGGATATAATCAAACACAAGTGCAGCCAGCCAACCCTCTTAGTGAAAATTGTTAGAGCCCGAGGTGGCCAGTAACCATTTACAAGGCTACTGTGAGCAATTCATTAAGATATAAACTTGATGACTTTTTCAAGTTGATTTAGTAAATTTCAGTGCTATTATTCAGAAACATATACAATCCAGAATATAAGAGTAGAAACTTTCATTGAAAAAACTTTGGAAAATGAATACAGAATATTTCTTTACTTGAGAATACCATAATGTAACCTATTTCACTCGTTTCCAAATTTTCACTATAAAAGCCATGGTAAGGTATAACTCTGCCTATAAATCATCGTGTGCCTTTTATAACTGTTTCCTTAGAACGAGTTCCCAGAGCTGGAGTCACTCCGTAAAACTGTCAAACTGCCCCTTCGAAATGCCAGATCGACTTACACTCCAACCAGCATGTGCTACAGTGGCCAGGCCCACGCCTGCCACCAGGTATTTCCATTAAAAAAAAAAAAATTTGGCAAAAGAATAGGCAAAAAAAATTTTCTCACTGCTAGAAAAGCCTTTACACAAAAACAGTTCCTTAATATCACTTATTTATTGGATGGCTCAAATGCCAAAGGATAATAAAACTCCCAAGTCTTACCTTTCATTTTTATATCAAGTCCTTTTGAAATAAACTTACTGATACTCTATTCATTAATGTCCCACAATGGTGGGCACTGCATCATTTAAAAAGAGAAGAGCGCACGGACTCACCAAGACAGCCAGGGGAAGAGGGATGAAGCCCATCCTCCGCGCCACGGAGTCGCTGTAGTCGGTGTACGCCTGGACAAAGAGGGGACAGGGCTCGTGGGGGTCGGGCCGCGCATTGGAAGTGCCACCCGCTCCTCACTGGCATGTTTTCTAAACAGGTGAGGTCACGAGGAAGGGCACCTGGCATCTATCATACGATTTAGCAAAATGATTTGGAAATCTATGTGTTCGTAAGAAGGTTTTTTTAAGAAGTTTTAAATACAAAGTTGCATCACTGTTACAATGCTGTAAAAATCATGTCCTGTTTATATTAAATGGTAGTTATTATTTTTATTAATTTGTGAAAACTAGTGTCAAGAACAGGAATAAGTAATAAGTTTAAGTTGACACAGCTTTCCCATAAACCAGCATTTCCTGCTAAATGAAACCACCATCAGTTAATTTCAGATTATGTCTTTGATACAATGCTCACGTTTTTCTGTCGACTGCTAACAAGGTCAAAAGCAAGGCTGGCTCTATATTCACTGTAGACCTAAAAACAAATAAGAATGCAATATTAAGTAATATAGTACAAATATACATAGTGGGAAGATTGAAACTTTGTAGATAGATGAATATGTTCAATAGTTAACCAGAAAAAAAGGTTCTACTAGCCACACAGCCATCTGGGTAGTGATTTTCTATTAGTTTTCCCACTAAGAAGAATAAAACAGCCTCGATTCCCCCAACTGTTATGTTTATAAGCCTTTTAAAGATTTCTTTTCACAGAGAGATAAAGTACTCAATGATTATAATCCCAAGAATTTACAATTTTGGGAATAGTAGCTATTTTAAATAGTCTAATATATGAGGTCTGTCCAAAAGGTATCCTCTACTTAATATGAAAAATAAAGACATTTATTGAAGAAGATACAAGATACAAGAAACATTGTACATAGGACAATGACGCCTCAGTCCCCTTCCAAGTAGGCACCTTGGGTTGGGTGGGTCCTCACACAGTTCTCCCAATGACCATCAGCTACCCCATCGTATTTTCCTGAATCTCATCAATGGTCTGAAATCTCTTCCCTTTCAAAGGTGATTTTAGTTTTGGGAAAAGCCAGGAAGTCACAGGGCACCAAATCTGGGCTGTGTGTGTGGGGGGGTGAATCACCCAGGTGATTTGATGTTTCACCAAAAATTGAGATGTGATGCATGAGTGGGTGTGTTGTTGTGATGAAGTTGTCAGTCACCAGCTGCCCATAGCTGCGGCCTTCTGATTCATCCGAATAGTTTCCATGGAGGAATGTTCAAGCTTAATGCAAAATTTAATGCAGATTCATTGTTCTACTCACTCAGTCATTTTGACTACCAAGTTACATTGATGTCACACAAACTGTTCTCATTATATTAACAATGGCTGTACTTTTTCTGGACAGACCTTGTATATAATAATTTGGAAATTTTAAATTAAATAAACATTTTAAAAATTATTACTCCATATACAATAATAATAACAATGCCTTCTTAGAAAAATAGATGCTGAGCAAGACAAAACTGAATTTTGATAGCCCAATGTTTTAAATAGAAACAATGTGATTTTTCAAAGTTTAAGTCAACAGATGATGGTAGTATTAACAGTTTATAATGATTTTGAGTTAGTGACGCTCTGACCACAACCACCAGTCAGGCTGCACCTGCACCCACAGGTGTGGAAACAGAACTGTTTAATGCTGAACTATTATACTTTCAGTATGGTAATGCTTTTTAGAAATTTAAAATTATAATTCTTAAAGTAGTAGTACTCTTCTATTATCTTCAATATAATGCAATAATAAATGCAATAAACCTAAACTTGTTATCCTACAACTCTATAATATTAAATAGAAGTCAACATCAAATACTAAACTGGTTATGAAGATACATACATCTGCAGTAATGTCATTGAACTTGGTGATGAAAGCATGCTTTACAATATCCACAGCGATTTCTGATGCAATCACCATACAGACATCTGGAAATAACACCCAGAGATGATCTATAAAGTACAGGGAAAAACAGTTAAATTGCTTAATATAAATCGAATCCACATCACAGGCTAACGCTGAAATCTGAAGTTCACAGGTCAAAACTGCAATGTTCTCAACAAACAATAGTAATAGAGATAGAACTCGCATTCAATAAATTATCACAGGAACTATACTTAATCAAGCCGAGGAAAAATTCCTTCGACACGTTTATTCTGTACTTTCTCTGTGCCACGCGCTCCTGGAGGGGACCCGGTGTGAGCAGGCCCTCCGCCTCCCTTCCTGGAGCCACCCCGGGGCCACTGGTGGGTGGCTAATGAAACACGCAGGCTCCTTACAAGCTCCTCTAACCCCAGAGCGGCCTCAGAGGGAAGGGAGTCAGCCGAGCAACTTCCCCTCTCGATCACTGCGACTTCAAGATGGAGATCAACCACTCACTTCACCGTCATACTGATGTAACTCGTCAAGTTTGCTCGCCTTCCAATTTACTGAAGTGCGAGTTCAGTACCAACTGCCTGACAAGAACCGCAACAGATAAACTCCTGATCCCTGAAGAAGGACACAGGAGTGGGACAGCATGAAGCAAGTGAGAAATGCCGACACAGACCTGTGACGACCTAGGACCTGGCGGCTGGGGGCCTGGTGGACATACAGGGTGGGGCTCTCGACCCTGACTGGAGGGTGTGGCCGTGTCAGGAGTCTGACATCATGCTCAGGGTTGGGGAATCGGGTGACCTGACTTTATGGTTTCTATAAGAAAATAATTCTGGACACATATTTCCAAGGTCACAGATCTCATTTTGTATGTTTCTGATTTTTCACAGGTACTTGGAAACTAGCACTGAACCAAAATAAATTAGAAGTTATTAAATGCCTACACCATGCATGGTGTGCAAGTAATAAATAAAATGCAAAACATGATGTCACTTCTTAAGCACAAGGTTTACGAAACCCTCAGGCACTGAGAAACTCTCCATTACTTGCAAGAGCCGAGCACTCAGATCGTTTGCCACCAAGTGCACCGCGGCATCACCGGGTTGCGCTGTGACCGCCTGTCTGCTTCCTCAGCGAGCCTGCGAGTGCTAACACAGGCCACCACCTTTTACATGGGTGGTGGCCCCACAGTGCACAGCCGGCGAACTTCCGCCAGATGGACGGAGGGTGAAAACTCATGGAATCCTGGCAACTGACCAACCTCGATTCAGGGATGTATATAAGTAACAATTTACTGCTTTACAGTATGTTTCTTTAATTTGTCATTATTCAAAATGCTTATTAATGTTAGGAAAGAACAGACATTCTTCTGGTGAACCCCTTCCTACAATGCAAAAAATCTGACTGCACTGAGATAACCCCAGTGTGGCTGCAGTGAGTGAGCAAAAATAAGGAGGCCGGCAGCTGTGGTGCTCAGGAAGGCCCAACGGCCCGGTGAGGACACAGCTGCAGCCACGGTGTGTGGGGACGGGCCAATGTGTGGGGATGGGGCAGGATGGGCCAAAGACTGGCAGGCATGCTCTGGCTTCCCACCACACCAACCCACTCTACTGAGGCAGGTGCTGCTGATACCTGGAAAGGGGCAGCTAAAACGCTTTAAGTTTTCTGCAATGCTCATTCCATTCCATGTAAAAGAATGATTTTTGGTTCAAGAGTAAAATTAGAAGTCACTGTAGTTGTAAAAAATTACTTACCTGGATTCCAAGAAAACTGTTCCATGTTTCTTAGACAGACTATTAGCAAAAGCACATAATTTGTAAATCGCTCCTTAATATCTGAAAAAAATTCAACATATGAATACATAGTGCATATAAATAATAGTACAATATATAAAATAATTTTAGTCAGAGAATGTAATTATTACATTATGTGTTAAGTATCTCATCCTGGCTAGCGTAGCTCAGTGGATTGAGTGCGGGCTGCAAACCAAAGTGTCGCAGGTTCGATTCCCAGTCAGGGCACAGGCCTGGGTTGCAGGCCACAGCCCCCAGCAACTGCACATTGATGTTTCTCTCTCTCTCTCTCTCTTTCACCCTCCCTTCCCTCTCTAAAAATAAATTAAAAAAAAATCTAAAAAATATATTAAAAAAACCCCACATCAACTTAAAAAAAAGTATCTATAAAATAAACGTACTATCTCATACACAGAATGGTGCTACACTGATAAGCCATTTACTTCTCTCACTAACACAAATTCCAGTATGAAAATTCTACTTTTCTACAGAATTTCAAAAATATTCAAACCATCAGTCTGCTCATATTGAGTCAGACTCCTCCAATGGCCTTTGGGGACATATGACAACTATTTTCATCTAGAAAAAGAAAAAAACCGAAGCAGAAAGGAAAATACAGGACTGGAAAATGTAACGCCCCTGCAAAGCAGGACACTGCATGTGCAATTTGGTAAAGAGCAAGTGTACAGGCGCTGACCTGATATACCCTTCCGCTAAAAGAACAGTGTTACAAAAGCATTTCTTAAGACACATGTAGAAATTGGGGGGGTGGGGGGTACCAAATCAGGGTAGGTTTCATAACATTTATATAATTTACTAAATACTCTCATCTTTGCCCAAATGAATTTAATAAAAGCAAACACCTAAACTCTTGCTAGAAGCTAGTTTACACATTTCGCTTTACAAGCTATTTTCTCATTGCAGCCTAAGATACTACGGAACCGAGAAGTGAAATTGAGTGCAACAACATCTGCAGTGAGCCTGGCACCCTGCGCCTACGCAGCAGTGGGGCCGTGGCCAGCACAGTCCCTCACAGAGCAGCCTGCCTCGCAGCCTGCACCCACCCAACCGTCGCTTCCCTAATGTTCTAGCATCTCACAGTTCTGCGCCCCACCCTGCCACTCAGCGGCGGGACCCCTGCAGCCTCTGCATTTCAAGTGCACCCTGAAGTCCTTCCTCGAAATGTCTTGGCTTCTCTTTTATGTCCTCCTTTCCCTATTGCTCTGCAGCAAATGAAATGGCTTTCATTCTGCTGCCAAACCTTGGTCTCTATAAACAGGCCGGCATTTTCTGTGTGTGTATTCCCTAAATTCCCAAACTCTTTCCAGTTAGGAGCAGCACCTTCGTTTCCAGGGTAGCTGGGCTCTGAGCTCGTTTTTGGGAGGGGTCTGAGCTGCCACAGTGCTGCTCTCAGGAGCTCAGTGACCCTGGCGAAGTCACACTGCTTTCCCTGTTTTAGTTTGCACATCTATAAAATGGAGTAATGTCATCTCCCACGAAGAAATTTCTGGATTCATGAGAAGTTTCTCCAAGTACAGTAGGGAGCTATATAAATGTTTGTAAGCCTTTGTTATCTTTAACATCCTGAGATTGCAATAACCAAAATAATAAGTAAACTTAGTAAAGATGTTGAGAGAGTAAGAGGAAGCCCAGCTTAAGTCAAAGAAGCAGGGAGTGTGACATCCGAGTTTGAGAATGAACTGCAAAGGAATGCTGCAGAAGGCTGCAAGCAGGATCTCATGGTACATACCGCTATTTGACATCTGAAAAAGATTGTTCTTTTCAAACTTCTTGAAAACACTTCCTTTAATTTCAACAAACTGAAATAGTAAGAAAGAGAAGTGACCCTTATCATTGTAACAGTTTTAAAAATGGACACAATACACATACAACTTCCTGAATAACTAACATGCAGAAGAAACATTTACCCCACCCAGAACACTGCTGCGGAAGTGCCCGAGCGACGGCCCACACGCGAAAACTCTCCTACTCACGTTATTCGACATCATGATGGTGAGCAGCGACTTGTTGTGCGAGTTGAACGCCACGTTGAGAGTCGTCGCTTGCACCATTATAAGGATTGCATGCAGAACTGGCAGTGAGTGGGGTCAAGGAAAAAACCCGCCTGTGTCATGTTAGATTAATAGACAATACGACACAATTTTTAAAGTGAATAATGAGGGGCAAGATGACTCTGTGTAAGTACTTTATTCGCTGTAATTTTTCTACTAGTTGGCCCCAATCTGCCCGGATGGGGAGGCATGCCACCCACGTGAGACGCACCAGCACAGAAACGGACCCGCGCCCCCTTCATGTGCCCGGCGAGCCCCGGCCCTCGGCTGTCTGGCTCTTCCCAGTTCTCTGGCATTTGCTGCAATGCTTGGGAAACAGGCCCTTTAAAAAGTTTGTTAACGGAATGGAATAAATTATGGTGAATGCTGAAAGAAGACACTTAGCAATATACATTCTGAATTAAGATGATTTGCATTCCAAAATAGAAAAAAACACAAAGTAAAAGTCTGGATGTGATTTCCCCTTCTGGTCCTTCAGGGGAATGGGGAGTCTAAGATGGAAAGAATTGCCTGATACTTAAGATTCTTCTTCATATGTCATTTTTTGAAGAAGTCACAAGTTGCAGAATTATATTCATATTACACATGGAACAGTTTACTTAAATTAAAACAGTGACTTTTTGCCATTATACTTGAAACAAGCTTTTACTCTGTAGAAATCTTCCCACTTAGCCCCTTAACTTTCCAAGTATTAATCCAATTCCTTCAAGTATCACTGTTTCAGAGACAGTACAAATCACAGGACACACCCTGTGAATGGGTCTGACCCACGCGGAACCCCAGTGTAGGCACGGGTGCGTGTACATGAACATAAACGGGCGCACATATGGCCCACACGGGACTTTGCTGGAGGTACACACGTGTGTAAATACAAACGAATGGGCAAACATACACACTATATATAATAAAGCTTTTACTTTTCAAAAGAAAACCGTTAAGATGAGGGTGCAAGGGGAGAATAAAACCTCTAAAATTCTTCCCAACCAATTTCAAATTTTACTTCTAGATGGACTGTAAACATTTTTCAGTCCAGGTTATAACAAAGAATTCACAGGCATAAAGATAACTTAAAAAAATTCTAAATAAGTATAAAAAGTGACAGATTTATATAGAATATCTATAACACCTTTAAGTGAAACCCTTCCACACAATGTTACACTGAGGCTGGAACTATTTTTTAGTAATTCAAAGCAACACGTATACATGAAGCTCTTTAAGTCAATTTACAATCACTATTATAACTAATTTCTCAAGAGAGAGCAGGCATTTCACATCAATATTCAGGATTCACACACACACCTGTAAATCAAAGAAACCGTGAACTGACTAAAACAACGCAGGCTACGCGTGACCGCGGGGATTCCTGCGTGTCTGAAAGGATACAGACGTAGAGAACAGCCATGAAGAAGTGAGGGATCACCCCGATGTGGGCTCTCTTCCTCTCCTTCGGCTCTGTTGCTGTCCAGTACAGAGCGTCTAATATATCTTGGCCAAATGATGAAAACAGACGATCTGCTACCTGAAGAGAAAAATTGGTGAAAAGGTGTTTCTTAACATCCCATTTAAACATGTCACTAGGATTCAGAGGCAACTCAAATACTAGAGATCTCCATTTATACAATAATTAACCTTTAAAATTAAGACCATTCTAAGACCGTCCGACCTCTTGTGGCTGCCAGTCTCCAACGCCCCACCTGGTCTTCTCATCGTGGCCTGGGTCACTTCCTCGGACCTCCTGCTCCTGACCCCCTGGTTTACTGTCTGTCTCCCACGGGGGAATATAAGCTCCGAGAGGTGGGATTTGTTCGCCTCTGGATCTTCAGGGTCTGAGACAGTTCTCTGCATGCAGGGACCGGCACAGATTTACCGAACAAAGGAACAATACCACAGCTACCGTTTGGGGAGCTCTTACCACGTGCCTGGCAGTGTGCTGAGCCCTTTCTCTGTGCTGCTTTATTTAGTCCTCACAATCCGCCCAGCACTTCCAGCTTATCGATGAGAAACTGGGGGTTAGAGACGCTCAGCACCCGGCAGCCCCGTGCAGAAGAACCGGGACCGCAGGCGGGTTCTCTCTGCACAGGAGCCCAGACTTCTCGTCCATTGTGCTTAAACCACGCCACCAACCGCCGTCCAGAGTGAAGAGTACTGAAACCCTTTGATCAGCAATTCTCGGACCCTTTTTCTCGACCTATCCATTATAACAGTAACAACACCGCCTTGTGGAGGGCTTTGAGAACCAGGAGGCATACACATGAAGTCGGGGGCAGGCAGAGTCCCTGTCACCTGCAGGTCCCTGGAAGGCAGGCGGTAAGGGAGCCCAGCAGGGCCCCAGCACACAGAGCCTCCTTCTGCAATGGCAGGAGGAGAGAGATGAGGCCGGGCTTGCCCTTCTGAGAGGGGGAGGGGAGAACAAGATGGTTACTCTGCCTCACACCCATTGCCTGCATCCCATCGGTGGGGCACAGCAAGCTCAGGGCACTGAGCTACAGTCAGGAAGCTGGGGATTGGTGTGAAATCATCTCAGTCGTGAATTTAGGAATAACCAGGATGGCTCGAGTTCCTCTGTGGCGAGCTGGGAAGCCCTCAGGTACTGGGCAATGCAGCCTCAGAGCAGAAAGGCCCGAAGCTGCCCCATCATCCCATCTGCCCACCCACTAGGAAAAACCCCTTCCTGGGAAGGGTCATTAAGGAACATGTGTAAAGGACCCGTGGGCAAACTGAGGGGTGGGCACTGAGGGTTGGAGGTGGGGGTTGGTGGGTTGTGGGGGAGCAATGGCAGAGAAATGGAAACAACTGTACTTGAACAATAAAAAAAGAAAGAAAAGAAAGAAAAAGGAGAACCCCTTCCTGGCTAATTTAAGACAGGTAGACCTTACTTGTGTTCCTAAAATGCAGGATAGAAAAATGTAATCTGAATCTCAAAAATGTATAACGTAGTGTAGCTTATGTTTAAAAAACATTAAGATTCTGCCCATAAAAAAAGCATGTTTTGCTTTGTGTAACTGTTAGTTTTTGTACATATGCAGATGTCCACCTGCTGACCACTTTAAAATGAGATACACTGTATAAAATGTTAAGTACTTAGAGATACTGGAAAACTTATGTTTACTTGCTCTATGTGAAAATTCAAAGTAATCAACATGTAAATCTATTACAGCAAACATATATACAATCCTACATTTTCTCCAGGACCTTTAAAGTTCTAGCTCAAAGCTGACATGGGTTTCCAATGAACATGTAAAACGAATTATCCCGCCTTTTGACAATTTACATTCTCAAGGCGGCCATGACTCAGAAATATCCAGGCAGCAGGTCCCTTCTTACTTACTGGGGGCATGTCTTGCCCTGACCTGCCACCCACGGTGGCCCAGGACCAGCTGCACAGGTGCATCTTGCTCGACAGACTCTAGTGCCAGCCCAGATCTGCAGAAGCAGAATCTGCATTTTCACGAGACAAGGACGAGACAAGCCCTGAAGGCTGGAAGCACCCTACTGGAGCTGGGGCAGGTGGGGCTGGACTGACCGGGCGGGCACACGAGGCCCTTCCTCACCTCGAGCATGTTGTAGATGATGTAGAGCTTGATGACCGACTGCCCCCTGATCAGGTGGTACATCATGGAGTAGTCGACATAGTGCATCATGAAATAGCAAATGATCAAAATGACGCCCTTCAAAATGTCACACACCTGGGCCGGCTGCAGCAAGCGCCTGTCCCTGCAACACAAGAACAAATAAAAACACGACTTCCACTTTCTACATTCTTGAAACAAAGAATCTTTACTGGACATATACTGGCATACAATGTACAATGGTAACGAGAGTTAGGTTGATCTTTTACACACTTCAAACGAATGAGGAATGTATATGTATGTACATAACTGACCACTCAGCAGTGTGAACATGTTAAACCAGAATGACCATTAGAAGTGGGCAGCCTTGACCAGCGGGCACAGCGGGCAGGTATCTGTGGCGAGAGTGCGTTTCCAAGGTGACGACATAAGCCTCGAACCCCGTCACGACGCCCTGCAGCCCTAGGACTGGCCTGTCACACAGCGTCCGCGCTCCGCGCCGCTCTGCTCGTGGCACTTTTTGTGTAACAGCACGGCAGGCGCACCACAGCAGTGCGAGGGGAGGCTGCACCTCCACAACGCTGTCACGTGCCGGTGCGCGGAGGCGCCGTAAACGAGGTCGCGCGACGCCGGCGCGTTCCCAGGCTTCGGCAACTGCGAGCCGCGATGCAGCCTGGATGTCACACTTCGCACACGAAAGTGCGCCTCTAGGGTAAGTTCCTGGGATCGGGGTTTCCAGGTGATGCTCACGAGACACTTTGATAGCGGCAGCTAAACTGCCCTCTGCAGGGGTCGCACCGATTCGCGCTCCAGCTGGAAGCACAAGGGAAAGCCTGCGGCCCACGGGCGTCAGCCCGCTGTCCGGTCCCCTTCCGGGCCCTCGCCGTCCCCACGCGTGAAAAGTGGCGCCTAGTACGCGTGCACTGGCGCTTTCTCTCACCGGGACACTGGCATCTTCTGAAGGTCTTTAAGCTATTTGTATTTTCTGTGCGTTCTCTCTCATACCTTTCCCTTACTGGTTGGCAGAACTGCTTCTAGATTACGCAAGTTAGTCCTCTGGGACATGAGGTGAAAACAGTTTTCCTCTAATTAACACGAACAGAAATCATTCCTTACTTCTGAGGTCAGAGTGTGAACAGCGGAACCCACATCGCGCCTGGAAACATTTTACTAAGACACAGCAAAAAATGCACGAGAACGGTAGTTTAAGATTTCTGTCACCGGACACAAACTCCTGTGCCAAGGGTGGGGGGAGCTCCCTCCCCGCTGCGCGCCACGGCAGGACGACCCCATCGGACGGGAACGGGAACGTCGGCCTCCCCGTGGGCAGCGGGCAGAGCCGGGCCAGCAGTGAGCGGAGGAGCCCTCCCCTAGGAGCGGCAGAGCGTCCTCAGCTCCGCCCACCACCGCAGGGGCGCTGAGGGCACTCACTCGCCAGCTGCGCCCTCGCCCGTGCCCTGCACGTGCGGAGCGGCCTCCTCCCTGGCGCGCTCTCCTGACCCCGTCCACGTTCAGGTGGGGGCCCTTTCCCTCCCGAGATGCCCGCGGGGCTCGGCAGGGGCGCCGGGAGCCTCCCAGCTGCTGCCGAGTCCCGAGACAACGGCTACGGTGCAATGCCACTGGGGAGCAGTCCGCGGAGCCTGGTCCGTGCTCCCTACCACGAGCACTGCAGGCGGTTTCCAGTCGTTTTGTCCGTCCGCGGAGAGGACGGACTGGGCGGGAGCCCCGAGGAGGCGCGCTGCGTCCTGGGAAGGCTGCGTGCAGGAACCCGGAAGTGCGTGGGAAGGCGCCGGGCCGACACGCCGGAACTCCCGGGCCGAAGGGAGACCCGGTCGGAACCGGTCTACGTCGGAGGACGAGTGAGACACGCCGGGCGGGCGGAGCGTGCTCACTCCTGGCAGTGGAGGTTCTGCAGAAGTGGCCTCAGGGGCAAGCGGAGCGGCCTCTGCCGTCCTGTCTCTGCCCCCACCTCTCCCGGGAACCCAGACTGAACTTCGTCTGCTGCCTCCGAACATCCGGCCCAGGACACAGACCTCTGCCGGGGTCTATCCAGACGACAAGGTGTTTCATTCCCTGCCCTCCCCACAAGGTCAAAAATGGCAGAGGGGTTATAGTTGTGGAGAGTTGGAATAAACATATTTTAAATTCACACAACGAGGGGAGGCACTTCGAACGCTCTTGGGCCCCTGGCCCGTGTGTGACAGTCACCTGTGGTCCAGCCAGGGGACGGGGGAGGCTGCACCACCCGCCCCCTTCTCGGAGTGTGGGCCCAGCCGGGCACATGCTGAAAGTCACAGGTCACCCACAGTCATGGGCCTCTGTGTGTATGAAAGCCACAGGTCATGTTTTATGAACTAAAGAAGATGACAGAAATGAAGAGTAGGATGGCATTACCGAATCCGCATTAATTAGCAAAATGATTCTGACAACTCGTTAAAGCAGAAAACTGTACCTAGAGATTTTGGAACTAGATTGGCAACAACTTGGTTAAGTGATCCTAGTGAAAGCAGTTTTACTTGCCAGAGAAGCGCTACACAATACATGTATCTAATTGTGCTCCTTTACAAACAGCTGCGGCACAAGACCAGTGCGCTGGTGTGTCTGGGAAGAGCCACTGTGCTTAACATGGTCATTGTTAGAAATCAGAATGACCAACATTGGAAACCTATACCCCCAAATAACACACATTTTGAACCAAAACGATAATAAATGAAAACCTAAACATTCCGCATAAATAGCTTCAATGAGCTCTATCTGGCCTAGGGTTAAAGCAGACTGTGGAGACGATAGAAAGGCTGGAGTCGGCTATGCGACAACCCAGTAGCTACAGGGCAGACCCATTCCGGGCACTCTGCACACGTCCCCTAGTTCTCCCCACCGTCCTTCGAGGAGGGGACTCTCACCACCCAGCCGTAAAGAAGAGGCAGAGTGGTCAAGAGCACGCCTGCAGCTGGACGGCTGTGAGTTACGAGGTGGAGGGGCTGGCAGCTGGGCCTGGGCAGCCCGGCTCCCGAAGGCTCGCTCTTCACCGCCATCCTCCTCACCACCACCTACCATTTTAGGCTTTTCTGCAAAAGACCTTTTAAACTTAGAAGAACCAACTACTCAGTCCCTTTCATCTGTCAGCAGAATGTAATACTATATAACTTATCACTGTATTGTCTTCTCATTTGGAAAACCTATTGTGCTAAGAACGCGAATATAACTATCATTCTTGCTCTTTATTTCCAAAAAGAAAACAACAGGACCACAGACCATTGCATCCACTGCTTTCTGAGCTCTCTCGCTGCTTTGGCGAAAACCTTCTAGGGTAACTCGTTGCTACAGAGATGCCTCTGATTTTCAAAATAAGGAGTGCTATTCCAATAAAAAATAAAAGCAGAACTCTTAAGGAAGAAGGGTCCTATTTTCATATAAATGTACCTGTTAATGAAAAAGGAAAGCTGCAAAAATAAAACACTGTTTGTAAGTAAGGCAGCATCTACAGACACGAGTATGTGCCACAGCCTGTCCGAGTAAGAACACACCTGACCTCAGGACTGCTCACCTGGTTGGCAACAACTTGAACCAGGCCCAGTGCTTGTTTGCTTCTCTGCCAGGGTATTTTTAGATGACACTCTGATAAGCATTTCCAACTCTATAAGAAGCTTATCCACAGCCCTGCCAATCAACTCTAAATTGGCTTTTGAACAATACTTTCAGACCAGAGTTCTTCCTTGCAAATGCCTGTTAAACAGTAGTTACTGGCAATTCATTTTGCAAATGCTGAAAACCCCGTAAGTTCAGAAACAAGTAGAATAAGCTATTGAACAGAGTGAAAAACTCACTAATCTAATTTGCAGGTTGGCTGTGAGTTATCCTAATATAGGTAACATTAAACAACGTATTCAACAGGACTTAAATTCGTTTCAAATTTTCAAGTTAAACTGCTCTTCCAGAAACCACATTTTCTACATTTCTAAATTTTATCTCTTACCCATTCAAACACTTCCATTAGATTTGCACAATACCAACTGAAGTGTTCCCAGCGTTTTGAAGGCTCACAGATTTATGGGAACAGAATGGTGTTGGAGACAAAATGAGCAGGGAAGGCTTTCTCCTCCCCTGTTCAGCAGAAGGTGATATGCTCACCAGCAAAAGCTGGCCCCAGACATAAAGACAGGAAGGGAGGGCAGGCAACACAAATGAGCAGGAGAAGTGGGATAACCCTGCCTCGTTAACTTTCAAGTCACGAGATGCTTCATTGTAAAACAGTTAGGCTGGATCTTTCTTTCTCTCCTTCTCTCTCTAAACATTTTAAGCTATTTGTGGTATAACGGGAAGAGTAAAGAAATATAAGCCTTACTAAAATTAAAAAATGTAAAATATTAAATATGGTTCTCATTTATGAAACATAAATCCCTTTATAATTTTAAAGTTAAATTAGAATAAAAATATTGAGATTAAGATATTTTCCTTAATTAAAAAACTGAAAATTTTCAATCTTGCTTTCATGGCATATGGTAAAATATGAAGTGCTTAAATGGAATGATTTAAGTTTTCCTTGGGCTTTAAAATAATTTCAAACTACACTAGGAAAAACCAGCTCGTCTTATAAAGCCACGTCCGGTGTCTGGAGTGGCAGAAAATAAAAACCGTGTGCATGGAAGGGACCAGGCTCAGCTGACTGCTGTGGCGGTGGGGTAAGTATTGCTGCTATTTGCTGTCAATGTGGGCCCAATGTGGGTCACGGAAGACCATTTTCTGGAGTGACTTTCCCACAGTAGGTGGGTCATGGTCAGACCCTGTAAACGTGGACCCTGCTTTACCAGCAGGTAAGGACAGGGAACCGCATTTTCTGCAGTGTATGTCCCCTCCCAAATGGCTATGCTTGCCTAGGCTCGTTTTCCCCCCATTACAATTAATACTTGTTTGAACTTCTGTCGACTGGGACAAGAAAACAGAAGGAAAAATCAGGGTCTACTCACCACAAGGAGTCCCTGTGACACCGCACTCCATTCTACAAAGGAAGTGAGAGAACTCCTCCCTTCGGTCTGATTCACGAGAGAGAAAGAGAGAGAGAAGGTTGTCATGTTGCTACGCTGCTTAGAGCGGCACCGGAGGAAACAGGGGACAGCACCACCTGACGTCATGAAGACCCTCTCAAGAAACAAACACGCTGCTCTCCACAGATCGGCTGCGCGGACCAGCCCTGGTGAGAGGAAGTAGCAGGCAGACTTGCTTCCCCAGAGAAAGTTACCAAGAGCTCTCCCCACACGTGCTCCAGGGCGGCATTAATCACTTGGGCCAGAACCAAGGCATACGTCTAAAATGAGAAAAATCTGTGTGTATGTGTGTTCGTGAAGTGAGTTTTAGGTAGAACCATCTTGAAGGAAGTAAGGCGTATAGAGGAAATCCAATGGGTTAAGAAACTCTCAAGCACTTTCAATTCATAATTTTTCTCGGAGATAAGAGCTTTTCTATGAAGTTAACACTCAAGAGAAAAAGACACTGTAGCCTCTAAAAAATAAAGTCTCAGAAGCCTCACATAAAAGTTACACCTAAACACCAGGGTAAGATCATCAGAAAATCTGCTTGCATGTATTTTATTTGCTCTAGAGTAAGAGAAAAACACTCTGGCATTTATTACTTAAACCTACTCTACACTTAGTACTGTCTGAAATGTTTTAAAAGTTTTCAAAAGTAACTATCAGATGCTGGCACCAGATGGCATCGTTTTTCTCTGTAATAGCCCCCAATTTTTAACTCGAATGTGACTGAAGTCCAACATACAAAATGAAGTCACAAGTTTTAGGAGGAAAGAGGAGTCACAAAAATGTCAGACAAATTAAAAATATTTATACAACTGGTTCTTTATAAGTAAATTTAGAAAAATTAGGTTCGATACCTCTGTTAGCATAACAAAATACTTTTATTCTTCTAATACACATGGATGCCTCATATGATGAATCAAAATTTAATGCTGACTTCCATGTCCTCATCATTTAAAAAATTATCCTAATTCAAGAAGTATTGGGAATGTTTTTTTTAAGAAGACACTACCCTACCTGGGAAAGAGGGAAGAAACACCTACTTGAATCTGCTTTGAAAGAATCTGGGTGTATGTCTTTATTTTAGTCTATCGTAAGAATATTTGGGGCAAAGAACGTTTAAGGTTGTTCACTCAGTAGGAGCAGTTTTCAATGCAGTTTTCCTGAGGATACGAAGGAGAGACGCAAACCTTTTGTACAAGCAGTGCATCTTCTGCAGACAACACACTCAACTGCCAAGTCAAGCTAATTACCCTGCCAACATCTTAAGGTGAACAATATTCTGGCAGCCAAAAGCTGGCGAATGCCCCCCAGTAGGGCACTGGCGATGAAGGTGGGGTGTCCCTGGGGGGCTGCAGACTCACCCTGGTCCTCAGGCACTGGCCTCGGCCTTCGGGAAGGGCAGAGAGTCCTTGTCTGCTTGTACCCAAGCAAAAACCCAGACCCACAGCAAGTTTGCAGAACATTTAGAAACAGGTTCAAAGAATAAATTCTAAAGCAGAAAATATGGAAGGCTGTCAGCTTTCAAAAGTCTCTCATAAATGCTGCATCAGACAGAATTCTGCAAGGAGACGAGGCGAAGACACTAATCCCAATCATGAAAGGCGGCAGTAACAAGACCCTACTGTGGAGGGAGCACGGACACAAACAGTGCCGGGCCACACAGAGTCGCTGTTTTCCTGCCATCCTCTGGATAACGGGGACGAATCTCCCCCCTCCCCATTTCTGGGGAGTAACTTCAAGAACTAAGAGACAAGGAGGAGAGTTAACGTTTTTTTAATAGAAGAATTTTTTTAACAGAAAGGAGAGTAAGAAAAAGAAAACATCATCAACTTCTTTGCTGGTTTCTTCAATTTCTTCTCACCCCTTTGAGAAAACAGAGTCGGATGGAAGGGAAGCACACGCTTCGCTGGCTGAGAAGAGGGAACGCGACGCACCACAGGCCAGACACACCCAGTGCGCTAGCTGGAAGGGGAGTAGGGGACGCTGGAAGAAAAGCTCTAAGAAGGCAGAATTTGACTCTTTCTGAATAATAGTAAAACTCTGTAAAAGTAAAATGTATTTTTATATTCCTAAAATATTTGAAAGTCCTTAGACAATATTAACAATAGCTTTGTTAATATAATTTTCACATATTTTAATTTTGAAATATTTAAAATTTGGCGTTAATAAAAAATAATGCTCAAAAAGGCATTGTTTTCTAAATTGGCCAAAGAAGACCTAAATTGCAACCCGAATTACCCAATTTTGCTAAAGCATGTGAAGGCTAAAACAGTAGACGGTGTTTGTGGAATCTGGCCTGCTTTGGCACAGAATGTTTAAAATTGCTGAAGCTGTTGTACAATTTTAACTGCATCTCACATTTTATATACAGCACATATTTATTAGTGATGGCATAAAATGTAATTTTTCAGTTGATTCAAATTGCAGAAAGAGCAAGAACTGTTTGCCCAGGGAACTGACTGGGGCCTTAAATTAGGGTGTGGCATGCTGCCCTCTAGTGTCATTTTAGCCACAAACCCCTGAAAACGTAAGACTTAAATTTTGCTTTTAAATGTTACTGAAATTAGTTTAGATTGAGAAGTACACCAGTGCACAGAAGTACAGTGCAAAAGCAACTATCTTTACTTTATATGCTGACACTACCCTGAAGTACATAGGGAAGGTTGGTCCAGGGACCAAGCGCCTCTCGCAACAAAGCCAATGGGAGGAGGACTGAGATTCCCGGCTCCCTGCAGAACCTCTTTTAATTTTCAGGACAAACAATGAAAGACTTCTCCAGTGCTACTTTGGTACCCTGCTTCCCCAGGTGACAAGGGACACATAGAAATGACACAGTTTAGATGCCTGTCCAACAAAATGGGTCTTCAGACAAGAGCCTTAAAAAAGAGGCCCTCGGGAAAATCCCCCGGGCCACTCAGAGAGCTCCACTGCGCACTACCAGTGGCCCCAGGGAGAAACCCAAAAGGAGAGCGGCCTTGGGTTAAAGATCCTTGACGCTGCAGCGCATCATGCCTCCGCCACACGGAACATGTTTCTTTAAAAACCATTCACTCAAAGACGGCTCAAACCCAAATCTGCCTCATACTGCTGGTCAAAGAATAACTAGAAAGTACTCTAGCCCACCGTGTAGGCGGAAAATCCCGACACGGCATCCGTCATTTCACGCCGGGTCGCTTCCCCGGGCTTCACCACGCGCCCTTGTTGTGTAACCACACAACCTTGTGTAGCCACACGTGAAGGTTCACATTCGGTAATGTCGTAGTAGCTTTTGGACAGCCCTGATTTCACTGAGCTCCCGTAGTGATAAAGGAAACAGTACAGGAGGGCAGCCTTCGTTATCCTCAAAGCCTCATGCTACAGAGGTCTTAAAGCGAGGCTTGTCAACAGGAATAAAACTTGTTAAAAATTCCCCCAACAGTATAAAGGATGTACCTGAATACCTTAAAGTTGATGGTAAATTCCTAAAAAGATTCTCCCATCTGATTAACACATAGTTAACAAAATATGTAACAATTCTTTCATTTTGAGAGAGTAAGATTAAAGAATGAAAAGGATCACATATAACAATATGATACTAATTCTTATAGTTGTTTTACTTTGTGTAATCTTGCAAAAAATTTTTACTCTTTTCCCAGTGTGATCATAATGATCAATGAATTCTTCACACATATTGGAAGAATTCCTTTCTCATTAGACTGAGTGGGGCTCATTTTTAAAGGAACCATGTGTGTGATTCAGCTAACTAAATATCAAGTATATGCTCTTTTACTACTTTAAACGAGAATGTCCATGACTTTAGTCTTCAAAAAACACCAACATATAATTCTGTATATTGACCAATGATTTTGTAACTCAGTTTCTATGATTAAGTTGTTGATAGTAACTTTATTAGGCATATTTTTAGATATCATGGAATAGCCACCTACTTTATAGTGAAATAAAATTGTACACATTGTCCATTTCAGCATTTTAAGGCTTTCTGGAAAGAAATGTATTCAGGAAAGTGCTGCATGTTAGAAGTGTGACTTGGGCAACCACGCTGAGAACTGTGGGACACTGTTACAGGGAGTGGCTGTGCAGGGTGGAGGCACGCTGACGAAACTACACAAAGAAAGAAAACTGGAAAACTGAACATCTTCTAAGCTCAGGCCCAAGAGAGCATCAAAACTCACATTAAACTTCATATTTTCATCAAACTGTTCCTAGTTCTGGTAGAGAAGAAAGGGAAGGAAATTAATATTTGTTCCTGTCTACTGGGAACCAGGCAGGAGGCTAGCTATTCTTTTTAACATCCCCCAATCTCTGTGGTAAAAGATGCGGGACTCCTGATATCCCTTTTTACTGACATGGAAACAGGCTTGTCAGCGAGGTCAAGTAGTTGTCCATGACTCACCAGCTAACCAGTGTTGGGGGGGCTGTCTGATGCTTCCCACTTGGACAATGGTGGTCCCCTCTCCCAAACAGAGGGAGTCTCACCTGTAATCAGTCACTATGGCTCCCCAGGCCACAAATACAACGATTCTCAAGAGGGGTGGAGGAGGAATCCCTGCAGTGACAGCTCCTTAGGGGATTCTGATACCCCTGCCCCACCCCCCTGCCTAGAACCCAGTCCTCGCTGCACAGAGGATGCCCAGGTGGCCAAGGGCCTTCAGGAAAACAAAGGTGCAGGGCGAGGTAGCACCGCATCTACAAGGCCCAATTCTCAGGCCCAAGCCCTTTCTGCTGTTCCCATGCACCACCTCCTGCACCGTTAACATTTGTTTACTGGCCAAAGCAAGGTTCTGGTTCAAAGCATTCGGAACATGAGTGTGGTATGCAAAGTACGAGTGTTAAGCAGACATAAAATATTCATTAGAAAGATGAACAGCACTAATTTATTGTTTAAAGACCAAAGTGTGAATGAAAGTGTACGAATTATCCCTATTCTGCAAAACCCATCCATGTGATTACATAGTTTGACAACTATCAATAGTAAAAAGAACAAAACATTTAAATAGTGACCTCACACTTACCTTAAGCCGTAGCAAGGCAGCGTGAAGAGCCTAAAGAGGGCCAGGAACACTCTCAAGGGAAGCAGGGTGAACACGTACAGAAACGCATCCAGGCACAGAAAGATGCCGAAAACCATGAGCTGGAGGTTTAAAGAAGAGAAGAAAACAAAACATAAATATTCTTTAAATATTTGTAGATGAAAATTTTAAATAAGGAATTGCTAAATTTCGTATGAAATTCATTCTGCATAAGTTAGCCATGGGAAAAAAACAAGTAATAGTTCTCCTTGTGTATAATAGCCATATTTCAATGAAAAAAATCCTTTTTCAAAGTGCAAATCTGTACTTCTCCTTCCAGAGCCTTTGCTTTACTACCAACAGGAGTCAAGTACAGAAGTCAATGACTCAAAAGACAACTGCCCTTGACCACAGCTACTAAAGATCTGATGTGGCTTTGTAAGTATTTTCTCAAACTTTAAAGATACTGTAGACAACTTGTATGTAAAACTTTTTAATTCTAACTTCACTCCACATCCTTCCTATTTCTGTAGCATTATACATTTTTACTCTTTAAATGTGGGACTATATTTCATAGAAGGAGGGTGGAGTCTTTGATGATTTGGAGAAGTGGCCACACCCAGACCACCCAGCCCTGCCACTGTAAGAGCAGTGACTTCCTGTATGTCAGATACACAACACAGCATGCTATCTCTGCCCTCACACAGAACACTTCATGTATCTTTTGTCAACACACTGTCCTACATACATATATGAAACAGTTTAAATCCACACCATTGGCTCAGAATTGCATCCCCAACAAATTCGTAAGTTGAAGTCCTAATCCCCAGGACCTCAGAATGACTGTATTTGGAGATGGGGTCTTTGCTGAGATCAATATGTTAAAACGAATTCCTTAGAGCAGGTGTGAATCCAGGATGCCTGGTGTCCTCATTAGAAGAAGAAACGTGGACAGAGGGAGGATGATGCAAAGACACAGGGAGGAGGCAGCTGGCCACAGGCCACACAGAGAGGCCTCGGAAGACACCAGTCCTGCTGAGGCTGTGAGCTTCAGAGCTACAATTCTATGCCACCCAGCCAGGGTACTTTGTTACAGCAGCCCTTGCAAACTAAAGCACACCTCGAAGAGGAAGGACACATTTTATCAATGTTTTGCAACATGTCTCAAAAGTGTTTCTCATATATAACCACATGTAACTTTTTTTTACGACAAGCGAGACTCTCGAAGCACAAAGAAAGCACAACGCTAAACAACTGTCAGTGCTCGGACTACACGTTCTGGCCTTCTGTCCCTGACAGTCAGCACGGCCATCCAGTCTGTCAGCACAGCCAGAGCTCTGCACAGCTCCTTGTTTACACATTTACAGGAGTGTTGCAGGAGACTGAGCACCGCCCACAGACAGCAAGTGGTCACTATGTATTACTCCCGGCCCCGTCACTGAGAAGCCTCTCCCTGTTTCAGTGTGTGTGCGTTAGGAAGCAGCGTGCTGGAAGGGAGAGTAGGCAGATGTCTTTCTGGTGATCTGACACATGGAGACGAACATGTTACTCGGTCACCCAGCATCCACCCAGCTGCGCATATGACCCAAGTCACACGCCCAGCCCACCAGGATGGGGTTCCTGCCCTCAGCAAGCTTACTCCAACTTCAGCAGAGATGCTGGCCCACCGACGGAGCAGGTCGAGGCAGCAGTAACGGCGCTGTGGCAGAACGAAAGACACAGGGGCAAACAGTGGAGCCCTGGGCAGAAAATGGCCAACTCAGGGAGATGCAGGAAGAGCTCCCTATTAGAGGAGACCCTTAAAAACACCTGAGAAGGTGAGGACCACTGCCACATGGACGGGCGGACTGGGTGGGGGTGAGGAAGGGAGCTCTCCAGGGGAGGAAGCTCGAGCAAGAGCACAGAGGAAAGGGATTGTGAAGATAACCTCTTCCTGCAGAATACAAGCACAGCCACCTGTCCGTGGCTTAGAGGAATTCACGTTAGCATTGTTTATGGTGAATAACATAACTACAGTCTACCGGCCCTTCCCCTTAATTTTAGGCCAGCCCAGTGGGCTCAGTGGGCAAGCAGTCACCCTCTCACACTGTTTGCCGACCACCTACCGGACCACCTGGGGCTGTTGGTATTACCGACCTCAGCGCTAACACGGAAGGAACACAGGGACTGAGACGTAAGAAACTGCGCTGGGGGAGAGAAACCACCCGTGGATGTGAGAACACACGAGGCGCAAGCAACAGAAACACCTCCAGGCTTCAGGAATGTGGAGAGGGGATCCAGCTCCTGGGTCACCCTTCTCACATGGAACTGCACTCTTCTAACTTCCACAAATGGAAATATGAAAATGTCCAGAAAAGTGAACACGATGCAATCCTGCAAACATCCATCCTTCCTGGAAGGAGGTGAAAAACCCGGCGCTGGGTGTGGGCCTGGCACCCGCGAGATGGCGACCCAGTGCATCGCACGCACAGGGCGACCCGGGGCTGTGACGGGGCTGCGCAGAGAACATCTCCCCCTGCTGGTGGTCCTCCAGGCAAGCGGATATGTGGTTCCTGCGTAATCCTCCCACGGCTCTTGCAGGTGGTTATCTTCACCCCTGCTGAACACTAGAGGACACCTCAGCGCTGGAGGCTGAAGGCTTGCCCAGGATCTTACCCACTATTTTTATGAGGCATAGGGGTGAACATAATTTTCTTTGTGCTAACTCGTCTTTTGCCAGTTTGCCTAATGTCATTAAAAATGCAGAAATAATAGACATTTAATGACTCAAACTTACAAAAGCCACGAGATTTTCACATACTAATATTTATTGCTAGCTTTGAAAATGTGTTATTAAGAATTAAAAGCTGTGACTATACATTACTAATGGGGATAATGTGTACTTTCGCACCACTGGTTAATTTGCACGGCACCTTGATAAAACAGGCAATTACTATTTCCTTTTTATTTGGACGAAATAACTACGAAGTTCTCAAGCAGTCATAAGTAACATCGGACGAAAGGTGCCCCTGAAGTCTGCGAGCCGTGAGTGGAAAGGAAGAAAGTGTCACATGCCACTCTCTGTTTCCCTTTTGAGAAACACAAAAATCTCTTCTCCTTTAAGTGACACTTGGAATTTCAATGTTTAACAACATTGTGGTTAAAACTGAAGCAGCACAATGCTTTTGGAATGTGCCTCCTCAAGTCACAGGCGGAATCTGTCCTATTAGCTGACTCGGAGGCCTTGTGCTACAGGTCACTGTCACCCTCTGGGCCCACTGTCCTGTTCTCCCCCTCTCCAGGACCGGGGCCACCACCCCAGGCCACCTCGCTTTGCGCACCTGTGGAACACGGGCCTCGCTGGACAGAATCTCAATCTTCTGGGGGAGGCCACATAACGCATATGTCACCTCTTTAAATTGGGTGTTACATAAATAACAGGAAGCAGAAAACCCAACTATGGCGAGAACCAAAGCATAACGCAAATACCTCAAGAAGAAATCATACGCTGGAGTTTCGGGCTTTTCCCATTTTCCTGGGAACAGGAGACCAAATGCTACATAAGGCTTTGTGTGAAAACTCTCCAAGACTAACAGTCATTCTTCAATTTGTTCCTCCTTTTTTCTCAAACACGTAGTACGGCTCTAATGTGACAGAGACTGTGACAGCTGAATAAAATATACGTTCACCGTTTTAAGAAGATTAGATAAAGTCTTGCAAAGAAGCTTAATACCCAAAGAAGAGGATTCAAATTCTGACCACAACCCAGTTAGAGATACACTTTACACTGTAATTCACTAGATGCACACCTATACGTGCACTCAACCCCCCCAAAAGTTTTGCTAAATACCTACTAACTTTTACTCCATGAAATACAGGCTGATATTTTTTATTTCCTCCTTCTCACCACATTCATGACCCACTGAAGGGCGAGGACGACGCACTGTCCGAAGGTGGGGCCCAGGGCGGGCGGGCGGGCAGGCAGGCAGGCAGGCAGGCAGGCCAGCCCGCTGGGGCCCCGTCCCGCCCCGGGCGGCCACCACAGGCCGTGAGGGCCCTTCACAGGGGTCTGAGGGGCTTTGCTGAGAGCGCCTGCCCTGGAAGCAGCGGGAACGTCTTTGTACGAAAATGCATGAAAACCGTGGAATTACAAATTGCGGCTGTTCAATGTAAAACTCCTCTTCAGAGCAGAGATTTGTAAAAATTTACATGAAAAAATAATTATTTCAAAATAACCCTCTGCTTAATTAATATGGCAGTTCTTGAGATTCTTCTTTGGAATAAAAGAAAGTGTAAGTGAAAACCAAGGATGGAGATGTTCACTGGCCTTTCTTCTCACGGGGAACTTGTCTGGAAGAGCGTCAGAATGAGTCTTCCACAGGTGCTGGGCACACAGACACGCTCTGGCCGCTGCTGGGCGTGGGCCTGTGGGCATGGCCTCAGGCCACCGTCACGTCCACGCTGCAGAGACTCAGGGGCTTGCCCAAGTTCGTGAGCAGAAGAGGCAGGGCCTGACTTCATCGGGTCTGCAAAAGGCATGGCTTCGAAAACCAAAGCCCTATTCTACTGACGACACCTGCCATTCCTCCTCCCGGCCTCAATCATGCCACTGGCCTTGGCACCATATGTATTTAAAAGCTACAACAAGGTAGCAGAGTTTTTAACATCTGAATTTCAGTGTTAAGAAAAGTACACAATGGCAGTAATTCTGTAACCCTGTAAGTCAACAAAAGATCACATGCCAGTGAAAATGGCCACAAAGCGGCTCTCGCCACATTCCCTTTGAACCTACTATTGCTCTTCCAAAGAAATAAATAAAAATGCCAGCCTCTGTCTATGAGAAATGGAGGTTTCTTAACTTCTAAAAAAACCTGTTAACCTTTTCCACAAAAATCTCCTGCCTTCATTTTAATGCCCTGTCAAATTTCAAAATAAACACCACCTTATGGTTAAAATTGAAACAGTACAATGATTCTGAAATAGGCTTCCTGGCATTCCCTTTCTGGCAGCTCTGAATGCCATCTTGCCACCAGAGCACCAAATGCTGCTGGCTAGTCGAGGACCAGCTTGTCCAGACCTGCTGGTCTGGAAAGCCAGCTGGACAGGAGTGGCAAAGCAGGAAGGGGCATTTCCCATAAGAAAC